CAAGAATGTTCAGGAATATTAATTTTAATATCCAAAACTATAAGCAGCTCAAAATCTGTTGTTTATACAATGGACTAAGAATGAATAAATTACAACAATATATGTGTGCATGTTACATGAATGTAATGTATGAAAGAAGCCAGACACAAAAGAGTACATATGGTATGATTCCATGTTTCTAATTAAGTTTACAAATGGCAAAACTAATCTGGAGAGTTAGAAGTCAGGATCATCATGACCTTTGCCAGGGGAACAGTGACTAGAGTGGGCCCCTAGGGTGCTCTTGGAATGCAGTTTCTTGATCTAATTTGATGGTTACATGGGTGTACTTTCTTTGTGAATATTCAGTTCTATGCTTGTAATTTATGTATTTTTATCTATGCATGTTAAACTTCAGCTTAAAAATTGCATTAGATGAGAAGTCTTGAGAATTTGGGAAATAATGATAGATCACTTTTCCTACATGTCAGATCAACATAGAATTACAGATTTCATACTTAAAAAAAAAAAGGTGGGGGTTGTTCACTACACACTGCAAAATTACCCAGTCTTGCCTCTGATCTTAAATTGTGTCTTCAGAGAAGCAAAGAACTATCAAAAGCAACAGATAAGCACTTCAGGCAGCATACTTTGAAGTAATTATTAGTTTTCACTTATCTTGCCACTTCACATACGCTATGACAGATAACATGGGCTGCAAATAAAGTTAATATATAAAGGTGTAATTTGGAGTTTGTGGAATCAGTCTTTTTAACTTTCCTCAGAGTGATACATTGTCATCTTGCAGACCAGATCTGGTGATTTTAAAGTTTGATTGAAGATAAAGTTTTATGTGATCCCACTGTGAGATGTAAGAGGCAAGTTTGAAGGTACTTGAATGAGCATTAGTTGTAATTGATGCTTGTTGCTTTGACTGCATGTTGGTTTGCTTGATGCTGTTTTAGTAACTTAGTGAGTTTCATCTTTAAATGGAATTTGTTTTGTTTAGTCTGCATTGTGCCAAGATTGATGATTGAAAACCTTACTGTTTCACAGAACATTGCTTCATAGCTCTTCCCTTTTCTGCTATTTTTATATCACATGAATCATTGCACATTTAAGCCATCTGCAAGGCCTGAATGGAATGAGATAAAAAGCTGCCATCACTTAAATTGACACTTGAAAAGCTGGTATTCATTTGGAGTTTATTCCTGATTGTCCTTTATATTTTAAAGTTTCAAACTTCATTTCAAGATGGTTGCTAACATCTCTGAGCCAAAAGTATCTCTGATTCACAGCTTCTTTTAGCCTGAAAGTCAAAGGGAGGGGATTCATCCTGTCAGCTAGAAGAATCTGTTGGGGACTCACTTCTGTCTCATTTGAGAGAATAAGAACAGTAAGTTCCACTCCTGTTTTAAAAGTATGTTGGTTTAATCATCTCAGCAAGCCATCTTGTTTGGCACGCCCGTCATAGGGAATAGTAAAAACACAAGGTTCTTCAATTGCCAGATTCATACTTCAAAATCGCATGCCTAGAATGTGTCACACCTGTGAGATATTTATCAAAAATTTTCTCAACATAACTTTCTTGAGGACTTAGTGAAAAAAGTTAGATAAATGCACGCCTGGGATGTTGCAAAAGAGATAGATGATTAAAAATGCATATTCAGCTAGGCTGATAGTGTGTACCTGTAGTCCCAGCTATTTGGAAGGCTGAGGTGGGAGGATCACTTGCACCCAAGAGGTTGAGGCTGCAGCGAGCTATGATCTCGCTGTTAAACTCCAGCCCAGGTGACAGAGTAAGATACTATCTCAATTTTTTTAAAAAAGCAAATAAAAATAAATAAATGCATGTCCACCATTTGCAAGAGGCCCAGAGTAGAACTGTGACCCCTGCTGAGCGGGTCACCGCCTCTGCCAGGATCCTTGGATTCCTCTGCCGCCCTGGCCTGGGAGCCTGCCTCGCCACAGTGGCTGGCAGCACAGCGATCTGCAGGCAGTGGGTGAGGCCCCCGGGAGTCACTGCGATGGTCCTCAAGATGGTGAAGGGCATCATCGACCGCATGTTTGACAAGAATCCACAGGACTTGGTCCACAGCATCCGCAACCACAAGGAGGACGAGACTGAAGAAGAATGGAGATAGTGGCCACCAGGCGTCTGTCTTCATGGAAGACAGACGTGCAGCCCTTGGGCAGTGGAATCCTTAGAAAGTCTTCTACATGAGCAACTGCCTGCCTGCATTGCTGCATGGACAGCAAGGCTGGCCTGAAGGAGAGCAGCCATCTGACACCACACTGGTCCCAATACCAGAGGTTGTGTTGGGCATGAGGTGCCAGGATGGCAGGGAAGTTAAGGAATTTGCTTGCAGGTACCAAGTCACCCTCAACTCTTGTCCCTCTCCCTAGGAACCTGAGCTCTTCTCTTACTTTTACACTTTTCTAGAAGTGGGGTGGCTTTGCCTGCCTCTGGCTTAATGAGGTCATTTTTGTTCATTTCCATCCCTTTCCCCTTGGTTTTCATCATCTCGGAAGCTCTCCCTAACTGCTTTGGTTACAATATTTAACTAACTTATGTACTCTTCAGATTCCTTTTGAGTTGAAGGCATAGCTGTTTGGCCTGGATTTTGTTTTACTGAGTGTGGTTCACCAGATTGGGAATGTGGTTTGTTCCTGAGAGGACTTTTTCTGCACAGGCAGGATCTCCCAGCGCCTGTCCCTGCCCCCTTCAGCTCATGTCACTCAGCAGCCTGTTTTGGGATCCTGAGGACCCGCCACAAGGTCTGTCCAGTGTAGGACCATGCACTCTAGTCTGGGGTGTGGTTTTCAAGGGGATGTGCCTGTTTTCACTGGGAAGCCCCTGACCCTGGGTTTCTTCCTTTGGAATTGGTGTGAGTTGATAGTGCCTTCCTTACAGTCATGGGCCCATTCAAACAGGTATTGGTGATGGAAACGTTTTTTAGAATAGCCCAGGGCCATCCTTGAAAGTCCCAGGCCTCCTCATGGGCCCTACCATTGGCCAGTCCGCAATTCCATGTAGGACACGCGGTGTCTGGGGTCCCTGGCTTTCTCATCGGAAGACCATCTTTATGTCCTGGAGGGTCATTACTCAGGTGTTCATTTCTGATTCCAGGTGTTCTCTGCAGGTGCTGGAGTCTCCTGATTGGAGAGCAGCAAATGAATGTTCAATGACAGTTCTAGTGGTCCCCTCCCAGCACCCCCCCAAACTCATTTTTAAAAAGCAGCTATCCTAGCCAGTCATGATGGCTCATGCCTGTAATCACACTTTGGAAAACTGAGGGTAGATCATGAGGTCAGGGGTTCAAAAACCAGCCTGGCCAAGATGGTGAAACCCCATCTCTACTAAAAATACAAAAAATTAGCTGGACGCGGTGGCGGGTGCCTGTAATTCCAGCTACTTGGGAGGTGGAGGCAGAGAATTGCTTGAACCTGGGAGGTTGAGGTTGCAGTGAGCTGAGGTTCTGCCGCTGAACTCCAGCCTGGGTACCAGAACAAGACTCCATCTCAAAAAAAAAAAAAAAAAAAAAAAAAGGGCAGCTACCCCGTAGACCACATGGACCACATGTTGTAGATTCTTCTTCCCATCCACTACAGCCAGAACGGAGACTCTTGACAGTGTGCTTTTTCTGCAGCAGTGTAGTTTCCAAAAAAAGTTTCCATTTCATAATAGATTTTCACTTAAAACTTGAGTGTGGCGTCATGGAAACAAGGCTTAGCAATGACTTTGAAAGCCACGTGGAAAGGCAGTGTGATTGAGTGGAAATCACATGAAGTTTGGGAAATCTGAGTCCAGGTGCTCTGACTGACTTACATGGGTGGCCCATGGGAAGCCCCCTGTTCTGTCTCCTTCAGTATAACATGGGGACATGGGCATGAGTTGCCTCCCTCCTTGCTGAATGATGCTGAGGATACTGTAGCAAAACGTAGTTTTCAGAAGTACCTGAGCACTTGAAGAGGTTGTTTAGTTCACTGTTTTCTAGTCCTCAGGCTGTGACCTCTTAGTGGGTTATAAATTCAGTTTACTGGCTTATGCTAGGTAAGAAAAACGAAAACAAACTAGAAAATACCAGAGTGTAGCCACATACAGTAACTGTCCTGTCTTGAAACATTGATTTCTGCGTGTGATTCTTGTGTGTGTTTTTAAGCATATTGGGTTACCACGCACAACCCATTGAAATGAGTCCAAAAAGTAAAAAAAAAAAAAAAAATTAAAAAAATAAATAAACGCATACCCACACTCATCCACAGCTCTTTAACTGCGGATATGTACAAATCTTGCATTTTTTTGTTGAATAGCAGATTAGTCAAGGTCTTTCAAAACCTTTTCCAACAGTTAGATTCTCTAAATGCACTTTGCTCTGGGCAACAGAAGGATGGTTTCCCCTGTACTAAAGTAAGCTGGAATTGCATAATCTAGGGAGGAGAGCTTCTTCAGTTGTTACTGGGTTTCTCCTCTCCATAAATAATAATATAATACTTTAGCAACATAGTAATAATACTAGAGTTAATAGAGGGAATGAAATAGAAGAATATTCTCTTACTTCATTTCTTTAAGAGAGCCTGAGATAATAAAGCAAAACATGCAGTGACCTCCATAACTAAGTACAATAGATTCTCTATTTTCCAAACAGAAATATCTTGGAAATAGAGAGTTCTACTAAGAGTCTATGAATAAAGGAACTTTTTTTTGTATCTAGATGCATTATCCTAATGTATCTCCATGTGATCTTGGGCAAGTCACTTAGTACTTCTGTGTTTTTTATCTCCCATTTTATTAGCATACTATAAATACTCAAAACACCAACAGTTTGTTTGTAGACAATAGCATTAAGAGCATTAATAACATCTTTGTGGTGGTGGTGGTGGTGTTTTCTTTGAAGGGACAACTGTAATTTTTGCTTAAACATACCCTGTTTGGAGATGGTTACTGTGGGGGATAACTTTAATTATTTTAAAGTAATTGCGTTTATTTTTTATTCATTATAATTTATTTCTTTGCCTAGCAGACAGAAGGTGGAGCACAGACAGATGGCCAGCAGTCACAGACACAAAGTAGTGAAAATTCAGAGAGTAAATCTACCCCGAAACGGCTGCATGTCTCTAATATTCCTTTCCGCTTCCGGGACCCTGACCTCCGGCAGATGTTTGGGGTAAGTCTCTGAAGTCTTTTTATGGATTTTACAATTAAAATAGATTTGAATCCCCCAGATGTGTTATTAGTCATTATTACTTTAGGATTAAACTACAAATAGATTGAGAAAGATTCTGAAGTAAATCAGTTTTTTTTTTTTTTAATTCCATTAGGATAGCTGCCTAGTACTTTATTAGAAAAGCAAATCTTCTTTAAGCCTTGGTTGTGGCCGCTTCATGGTGACAAGACACTGGGGCGAAATTCAGTCATTTATAGCTGACTACCTAGATATGTTTTCCACACGAAAGAGAAGGCCAGAGTTGAGATTTAATGATGTTCTTGAAGTACTTGAAGACCTTTTACACAGAAAATGGTAACCACATATTTGCCATTTCTTCGGAGAAGAGAACAACAGAAAATAAAGGGCAGCATAAAAGACTTGGGTTATACAGAAGAAACTTCTAGGGGCCATGAGTTATTAGGTTCTCTTCTGAACTATCAGAGCTAATATAGAATCTTAGTCTCCGAAGGTCTGTGAGAATAGAGTACATTCTCATCTGTCAGAGGTGTGTTTTCTCTTGAGTCAGAAAAATAGTGTCCACTGCAGATCTGCCTTAGTGATTTATTGAAATGTATTGTGCCCTTTTCTCATAAGGCATAAAGTGCAAAAGAAGTAATTTTTTCCTTACCAGAGATGTGTAGTTGCTTTATTTTCTTCCACATTGTGACTCTATTACTTAGAAGAACAGTAACATTGGTAAAGAGCGGGTATTCCATGCTCCATTTCATTAGCTTCATAAACTTGACAGATAGCTTCTTTTAGCCTCATTTTCCTTAACCATAAAAGAAATGTGATCCTTACTCTAGAAGGATATTATAAGAATGCATTAGAAAATATAAAACAAACTCCAAAGCACCATACAAATCTTAGTTTTATAGGATAAGCATAAATGCCCTTCCATCCAAAATAAGACATTTTCCGTTTTTCATGATTTTTTAAATTAAACCAAATCAATGTCTTACTATAGAAAACTAGGGTTATTAATACAAGTTTTTTGATAAAGATAGTAATGATTCAGTCCAATGGAACAAAATGATTTTTGTTTTGCTCTATTTTTCAGTTTTTTTTTCCACATTTCCCAAAGTCAGGTTGGAAATACAAGTGAAGTAGATAATCAGGTATGACTCCAATACTTAGAGGGAAATATGAGCCAAAAAAGATACCTGGAAATTTTCTGCATATAACTTCAATTCATTTCATCCAAGCATTGATTAAAACAGTTTTGTCTTTTTATATATATACTTTCCCCTAAATAATTACTGTATTTCTTGTAACACCTCTACACAGCTATTTAGCTACCTAACAATAGAGTTTAGGCTTTGTGTCTTTAGTTTTTGTTTGCTTTTCTGAATGTTAAAATACTTAAAGAATTAATAAAGAGAGCTGTTGTTTAAAATATGCTTGATGTTTATTGAGATATTTAAATGATGACTAGCACGTAGCCTATGGAAGTGGTAGCACAGATACATATTGACTTGGATAGTTGTTCATAATCTATTGCCAAGTTAAAAAATAAAAGCTGTATATGCTTTGGGAGGCTGAGGTGGGCACATCACATGAAGTCAGGAGTTTGAGACCTGCCTGGCCAACATGGTGAAACCCCATCTCTACTAAAAATACAAAAATTAGCTGGCTGTGGTGGCGGGTACCTGTAATCCCAGCTGCTTGGGAGGCTGAGCCAGGAGAATAGCTTGAACCCAGGAGGTAGGGGTTACAGTGAGCCAAAATTGCGCCACTGCACTCCAGCCTGGGTGACAGAACAAGACTCCATCTTTTTTTTTTTTTTTTAAATCAATATATAGAATATATCTGATGTCAATTGTTACTTATCTCCACATGCCTGAGGGAAAGCCTGGAATGCTGTGTACTAAAACATTACTGTGGTAGGATTGCAGATGATCTTTTATTTTCTGTTTTCCCTTTTCCTTTTTGTTTTTATTTACTGTGTTTTATATAGTGAATATACTTTGCTTGTATAAAAACAGGAGGTGAACAGCTTCCTATAGTATATTATTCTACTTACTAGACTTTAAATTTGAGACTTTTAAAAAATAAGAGATGTAGTTAGGAAAATTCCAACTTCTTGTCCACATGAAGTATCTAATGGGCTAACACTGTAAATATGTTTGGACAACATGCTTCCACACGTAGAGGTGGGTAATTGCCTGAGTGAGCGAAGTGAGAAAAGGAGAAACTGTCAACTCAGTGATGAGGAAAAATCAGAACCTGGTATTGGAACTTACCAACAAATACAAACATAGAAGTTAAATAAGTAGTTAACAGAAGAAGAAAAATAAACTATTCCCATTTCAGAAGAGAACAAAATATGTGGATAAAAACCTGACCATAAGTAAATGTTTTTATTTTTATCTCTGCAGCAGTTTGGCAAAATCCTAGATGTAGAAATAATCTTTAATGAACGAGGCTCTAAGGTAAGCTCCGTTTCAATATCAAGTGTGCTTGATTTCTTTTTGAGTTTTGTGTTCTTTTAAATAGCAAGTAATCAGAAAACATAGGCTGTTTTCAAGCCTGCATAAAAGTATCCTAAGTATCCACCTTGGGGTTAGATTATCTCTAAAAATAAGCTACCACACGGCCAAACTTTATTCTGATACTTATATGGGGGTGGGGGAGGTGATGAAGTAAGAAGCAGAAGAGCTTGAGGGGAGAGTGGGATGGAAAGAACACAGGATGTAGGAGATGACAGTTCTTTATGAGCCTTAACTTTGGCCTCAGCTTCCTCTGTTTAAAGGAAGAGCGCAAAGACTAAAAAAGGTGAAATTCTATGAGAATTCTATTCTGAATTCTATCAGAACAATTCAACCAAAATTCAACTTCAAAACAGCATACTTAGAACAAATTTAATGTTTTGATTATTCAGTGAACGTGCAGTCTCTTTTGAAAATTGTGACACGACTTAAACACAGTGAGCAATAACTGAGGAATTCACTATGAACTGATTTCCTCCTTCAAATTCTACCCACATAGGCAGTCTTCAGGTTGTAGAGTCACCTAAATCACATATACAGTGAGTTAGATTTTTTTGCATCAGAATGAAAGTAGCAAGTGTGTACTTTTATGCGTGTATTAAATACGTTCTATCTAAGAACTGAAATTTTTAATTAAAATTTATTTCCCCTATTAGGCTGGGTACTGTGGCTAACGCCTGTAATCCCAGCACTTTGGGAGGCCAAGGTCGGGGGATCACCTGAGGTCAGGAGTTCGAGACCAGCCTGGCCAACATGGTGAAACCCCATCTCCACTAAGAATACAGAAGTTAGCCTGGCATGGTGGCATATGCTTGTAATCCCAGCTACTTGGGAGGCCGAGGCAGGAGAATCACTTGAACCCAGGAGGCAGAGGTTACAGTAAACCGAGATCGTGTTACTACACTCCAGCCTGGGTGACAGAGCAGGACTGTTTCAAAACAAACAAAAAATTATTTCCCCTATTTATTTTAAATTCCCAATCTATATGAATTAGAATTTCCATGCATTAAAAGAAATAGCAATGTTTTTAGGAACAAGGGAATGGCAAAGTCTTACAGTAGTGTTGTGAAAAAAATGAAAAATTTGATGAATTGAATTTTTGGACGTTTTACTTGAGAGTTTTCTCACTGCTCATTACATGCACTACATTCTCCCGAAACCATTAGCTATAGCCAAGCCTATAAATATTTACCTTGCTGTTGCTACTTTCATTTGTTAGGTGAGGGCAATTTTTTAGTTAATTTTCATTTGGTCATCTCTACTGAATTTTGAAAATAGCTTTTGGCTATGGTTAAATCTCTTAAACATGTAATTTGAGGGAAAGCTAAATAAAGCCAATAAATGAGCCAATATTTACCTCTCCAATTTCATACTCCAAATTCACCATACTTTGGGAATTGATAACAGAGTGGTATATACCTCCTGCCCCCATCTGTACACATAAAAATGTATGTGCTGTTTTAATGCTACTTATTATTCCCTTTGTAGAATATATCAATACTAAAAGTGTTTAATTCTGACTATAACAATTATTTGTTAATTATTAAAGAGGTAATTATACTCTAAGCTTCCAGTTTTCAGTTAAAACAAAAACGATTAATATGCCTATACAGAACTTTCTCCAGCACTAGGTAAGTATTTTTTAAAGTGAAGTCTATTCAGACTGCAACCAGTAAAACTATGCTTGTAATTTTTCTCACAGTGTATATTCTGTTCCTTTGTTGCATTGTTTGTGTTTATTTTGTGTGATCCTTTTTGCTACAAGGTGGGAAAATGACAGTGGTTTAGAGATAAGAAGCACATGAGTGTAAAATAAATATGTAGAGATTATTGACTACTCTGGAAACTACTACCTAAAGTAGTAGTTTTTAATATTTTAAGTTGTAAATGTATGCACTTAAAATATTCTTAACTAGAGTCTAACAACTAAAAGGCCAATGTAGTTTCATCAGGGATTAAGGACTTGCTCCTTACCAAGAAAATAATTTGTTTGAATTATTGTGAAGCAAAGGAAATTGATCTTTCTTAAGGCTTCTTTCATTGGCTTTAAGGATTTGGGTGCTACCTTTTTTTTTTTTTTTTTTTTTTTTTTGGGCAGGGTCTCGCTGTACTGCCCCGGCTAGAGTGCAGTGGTGCATCTTGGCTCACTGCAACCTCCATCTCCTGGGTTCAAGCGATTCTTGTGCCTCAGCCTCCCGAGTAGCTGGGATTACAGGCACACACCACCATGCCTGGCTAGTTTTTTATATTTTTAGTACAGACAGGGTTTCGCCATGTTGGCCAGGCAGGTCTCAAAAGATCTGCTTGCTTTGGCCTCCCAAAGTGCTGGGATTACAGGTGTGAGCCACTGCATCCTGGCTCCACATTTTTTAAAATTTATCTGATCCAATTACTTCTGTCATGTAATTTTCATTTACAAGTAATGACATGAGCTTTCTCTTTGGGAAATCTAAAAGCATAGGCGGCTTCTGTCAGCTTGATGCAGTGTCCTCACTGCCCCATTTTTCTTTGGGCTGCTAAAGGGTACACAGACTATGTACTAATTGGTAAATGTTTTAAAAACAAAGCACAGAATTAAGAATTGCCCTGAATCTGTCCTCAAGGACTGATACAAAACCTTGTTTTCATCCTTCCAAGCTTTCTTAACTGCTTCCTAAAGTTCTTTCCTGGAATGGGTGCCCTTGGAATTGTTCTGAGGCTCCTAATAGAGATTTATTTTGGAATCAAACACATAGATGCCTCCTCTGGGATCTACCTAAGATAAATTAGTGAGCACTTTTCATTTTATGAATTAAGTTTAGTTTCTTATTCCTTTTATACGTTTGGGATTGACTGTAAAATTACAGCATATTTTGAAAAGAACCAGAGAAAAGGAGGCTTTATATAGTTTTATTGTTTAAGAGTGGCTCTAACTTTAAACAGAGTGCTTTTCTGTGCAGAAATTAGCTTTATTGAATTTTTTTAGAAAAACTCATCACAAAATAACTATAAGATAGCAATAATTACATGTAAAACAGTGTTTAATCAAATTGTTCCAAAACAAAAAGCAACTCTTTACCATATCTTATTTTGTATAATAAGGCTGTCACCCAGGGTTATAGAATACACCCATTTGAAAACATAAGTAAACAGTGTTCCACTGCCATGCTCACGCCCTCCTTATTTGCCAGTATTCTTCTTTTTCCAGCTTGCCTTTAGAGCGGAATTACTGTATAGTAGTTTTTTCTTTGTTGTTGACCTTATTTTTTCCTTTTTTCTTCTTTTACCTTCATATTCTAGATTTGTCTTACCTAGATTATAGAATGATTATACATCATATTCATGTACACGCATGCATACATATATATTTTAATTATTTCATGTGAATTTTAGTCTTTTTACTTCCTAATCTTTTGTAAAAACATAGAATCACCTGTATCTAAGTTTCTTTGATTAACTGAAACAGAGATAGACTAGCCTTTTGAAAATGTACTGTTAAGATATATGATGGAAAATGGTACTCCTGCCAAAAAATTAATTTATTCAAATAGAATCTAGAAAATTATTATATGAGTTAATATAGCTTTATTAATTCTCCAGATTTCACTGGTAATGACAGATTATTAATGTAAATAATAATGCATAGAGTGACCTTATATCCTGGCTTATCTAGGATAGCTCCAATTTATACCTATTATCTTAGCATAATTATTAATAAATGACCCCTTTCTCCTTCAGAGTGTACCAGTTTGAATGATAAACTTGTTTATTCTCCTTATATATCCTTTGGGTATCAGCTTAAAAAGCACTCTTTCAAAAGGAAAATATGATGCTTAATGAAAAGTATAAAGAAAAAAATACATAGTTTATTAAAGAGAAATGTTCACTACTGATTCTCATGTATACTTCTAGTCTATTTTCTCATATAGAATCTTAAAACATAACCTAAAATGGTCGCCTAGTTCAACCCCCTGTATTCTTGACCTTGCATTCTCTGCTAGAAATTTTCAGTGATTAAGAACTTGTTGTTTTCAAAATATTCCTTTGTGGATCAGACTTTCTACCATCGTATTCACCATCATTTAGCCACATAGTAATTTTTGGTGATAATTATCAAGCTTATCAAATAAATACACAGATTGTAACATTTACATTTTCTATAAATTTTTGCCAGAATACTTTGGTATATCGTCTCTTGAAGGGGTATATATTGAAATGTTGAATATGTTGAAGCTGTTCACCTCTTCAGATAGTGCTAATTATTAAGTCCACTAAAAGACTACAAACATTATACAGCCCAGCAATAAGTATTGAGATTTCTGGCAATTTTTTTTCTTTTTTTTAAATTGATAGATATTAGATGTACATATTTTCAGGTATATGTGATAATCTAATACATTCATATAATTACAGTAATTGGAATAGCCATCGCCTTAAAAATTTATCTTTAGGAACATTCTAGTTACTCTAGCAAATATCTACTTACCATGTTCTCATTAATTCTCTGGTGGATTTCTGGAATAATAGAGATCTAGGTTTAGGTTAGGCTTAAGTTTAGGCTGTAGTTAGAGGAGTTAAAACTTCTTTTTTTTTTTTTTTTTTTGGGACGGAGTTTCGCTCTTGTTACCCAGGCTGGAGTGCAATGGCGCGATCTCGGCTCACCGCAACCTCCGCCTCCTGGGTTCAGGCAATTCTCCTGCCTCAGCCTCCTGAGTCGCTGGGATTACAGGCACGCGCCACCATGCCCAGCTAATTTTTTGTATTTTTAGTAGAGACGGGGTTTCAGCGTGTTGACCAGGATGGTCTCGATCTCTTGACCTCGTGATCCACCCGCCTCGGCCTCCCAAAGTGCTGGGATTACAGGCTTGAGCCACCGCGCCCAGCCTGAGGAGTTAAAACTTCTATTTCCATTCCTTAGACACAAGTAATTTGCTGTAATGTTTTGCCTATTACCATGGTCTTTAATTTCATGCAAAGGGAAATTATTTATTTCTTTTAAAACATTATGAAATTACTTTTTTGGAAGTCACACTAAGTAGGCCTTTGTGACTTTCAGTAAAACTTGGTAGGTAATGTGGAAGTGAAATGGTTTTTTTAATCATATTTAAAACTGAATTAACAGTGCATGTGTTTCTGAGGGGCTTATTTTTTTTTTCTTTGGTTACCATTTGATGGGCTTTATTTTTATTTTTATTTTTTATTTATTTTTTAATTTCTGTGTTCTGGCCATACCCAGGAGATCCGTCTGCTTTTGATTTCTCCCTTAAAAGTTACATGGTAAATTTTCTTTCTCATTCTTCTGAGATCGAAAAATTTAAAAATTATACAAATTTTAATAATATTTTTACAATGTTCATTCTATTGCTTGTTATTTACTGCAGTCTGAGGCCAGACTAAAAAGGTGACAGTTACTTGGCTCCTATATATCCTCAATGATAAATGGATGTCAAGGTAGGCTATGAAATTGCTGTCACATTTTGTAGAAGTTTTAACTAAAACCGTACTACACCTCATAAATATACCATTTTTCAAATCCAGAAGTCAGCTAAGATACCTGGCAAATCATTAATGTAACACTGGTGTGTTTAAAAGTTTAATATAGAAGGACTTTGAGGACTGAGAACTTGGAGGAGTATAAAGTATAGAGATCTGCATTGCCCAGTACAGTGGTCACATTTAGCACTTGAAATGTGGAGAGTTTAAACTGAGGTGTGCCTGTAAGGGTAAAAATGGACACCAGACTTCAGAATTAGCACAAAAAAAGAATATTAAGCATCTCACTAATAATGTTTTAGTAGTGATACCATATTGAAATGTTAATATGTGTACATATTGAATTAAATACATTGTCAAAATTAATTTCACCTGTTTCTACTTTTTAAATGTGGTTATTAGAAAATTTTAAACTATATATGTGGCTTATATTTCTGTCTATAGTGCTGGTGTAGACAAACATGTCAAAATCATTTTTTAATTAAAAATTAAAGTTTACTTTTTTAAAACCTGGTTTTATTAATAGGAATATAGATAACAAAAATTCTCCATCTGTTTACATAGCTGAAATACTTCCTTTGTTCAGAATTTGAGATTAAATCTATTATAGATTATATAGTCTGTTTGTTACGTATATTATACCTGCGTAGACAGGTTCAGTGTTTGATAGGTTGTATGATCATTTGGAAGATGTTCTAAAGAAAATATTTTAGATTTATACATAATTTTACTAACTTGTTTTTCCAAAGTAAGAGATCAGAATGACCAACTTAATGTCAATTAGAGTTCTAAGAGTGAAGTGACAAAATATGAGTTCATGTAAACAAACTTTTCTGCTGATAACTTTTAAACCTGGATAATCTGTGAACATCTTTAGCAGTTTCTGGTACCCTTTCTAAAATGCTAAATTTTATTGAAGAAATAGTGTATTCTAAAAATGTTTTAAGATTTGAGTTCATGTTGGCAGGGCATGGTGGCTCACCCCTGTATCCCAGCACTTTGGGAGGCTGAGGTGGGCAGATCACCTGAGGTCAGGAGTTCAAGACCAGCCTGGCCAACATGGTGAAACCTTATCTCTACTAAAAATACAAAAATTAGTGGGGTGTGATGGCATGTACCTATAGTCCCAGCTACTGGCGAGGCTGGGGCAGGGGAATCACTTGAACTCAGTAGGTGGAGGTTGCAGTGAACCGAGATCGTGCCATTGCACTCCAGCCTGGGCCACAGAGTGAGACTCTGTCTCAGGAGAAAAAAAAAAAAGAGATTTGAGTTTATGTTATTCTAACTAAATTGTGAATGTGATAAGGAAGTACGAAGTTTGGGGTGATGGAAAATCACCTGTTTAAAGTTTAAACGTGAGAGAAAATTATTTAAGAACAGTACTTAAAAAAAAAAAAATGTTAGTCATACCTCTCACCTTCCTAATCATGGACTTTAATTCTGAAGTATGTATTAATTCCCCCTATGACTTCTGAACAAATTACCACAAATTGGGTGGCTGAAAGCCACACATTTATTATATTCCAGTTCTGGAGGTCAGAAGTCCAAAATGAGTCTCAGAAGGCTAAAATCAAGGTGTTATGTTCCTTCAGGAGGCTCTAAGGGATCATCTGTTTTCTTACCTTTTCTAACTTCTAGAGGCTGCCCACATTTCTTGGACTATAGCTCCCTTGTGTCTTCAGAGCTAGCAGTGGCCAGTCAAGTCTTTGTCAGGCAGCTTTACTCTGATTCTGTCTCTCCTTTGTCTGTTTTTCACTTATAAGCATAGTACAGTGGCCATGTTGGGCCACTGTATTACATTGGCCCCAACTGGATAATCCAGGATAATCTCTGTATCTCAAGATCATTAACTTAATCACATCTGCAAAATCCCTTTTGCCATGTAAGGTAGCATATTCACTGGCTCTGGGGATTAGGACGTGGACAACTTTGGGAAGCCATTATTCCGCCTATTGCAAGGTCTGTTTATCTTCAAAGCAAAGAAAGACATCCTCTTACCTTTGTGTTTCATATTAAAGAGTCCCAAAGCATCAACAAGGCCTTCTTCCTCCTATCACCCCAGGGAAAAGATGCTTATAAAGATTGCTTTGTTTTTATATTTTTGGTATCTTTATTATCATTTCCTTTGGCATATAAGCACCTTTCTTTATAAAACACTTTTAAAACATTTGCGAGGGATAACATGGGGAGAAATGCCAGATATAGGTGATGGGGAGGAAGGCAGCAAACCACACTACCATGTATGTTCCTATGCAACAATCCTGCATGTTCTTCACATGTACCCCAAAACCTAAAATGCAATAAAATATTTAAAAAAAAAAGAAAGTGAAATTTTGTTCCAGAATGTTAAAGTCATTATTGAGAAAATCCTGTACAAGCAGACATTAATGTTAAACGTTGTCATTTGCTGACTCTAAAATTTCAATGCTCATGATACCACCTTCATTCTTTTGGATGCAGTTATTGTGTCACTAATTTTCTTTCAACACGTTCGAGAAAAGAAAGTTATAGAAGATAGTTAGCAGTTAGATTTGGGGAAAAAAAATGAAGGATTTTCAGACTAGTACAGTTTAGTAAATAGAATACTGAACTGAGATTTGAAAAGGCTTAGACTTTTCTCACCATTGTCTGTATATCCTTGGGTACTTAATCTCAGTTTGGCTTAGTTTCTTTACCTTCAAAATGAAGCCAACATATCTATTCTTTTTACTTCATGGTTGTATTTAAGAAGACAAGTATGTATATTTGTATGTGGGTGTGTGGATACAGATAGTCATAATGCTACTATCAAACACCTAGGTCTTGGTTTTCATAGAACTTAATAGTAATCCAACTATTAATTTACAATGTATTAATTTAACCTAAGTCATAAAATGTATGACTGTGAGGATCAGTTGGAATACAGCTAAAAATGCTTTTAAAGTATGATATTAAAACTCATCACTCTCTGTGACCTTTCTTTAAAAGTTTGACTTTCCTACTGGGGGACTCACCAGGATTAGAGGACTGGCAGCTTATCTTCAGCAGGTGCTAGTGTAGATGACAAATGGTATAACTAGTTATTAATGTGCCCTTCTATACCTTGTGGTATCAGAGTGGCTATAAATGTTGATACCAAAATTTCATTTATGAAAATATGTTTCTGTTGATATTTTCAACAAATTACACATTCTGTAGGCAAGTATTAACTGAAATTACCAGTAGTATTTCATCCCAAGCAACATATGTTTTAAATTTTCTATCAGCTTAGCATTGCGCTTTCAAGAGTATTTGTGATGTCCAAATTGTGGGTAGAGATCACCCATTGGAATTCTCCAAAACGCCACCCACCCACATAATCGGTTAGAATGCTGAGCTATCAGATCCTTCAGAGCAATAGAGTTGCTTTTATAAAATCTTATTGAGCAATGCACATTGTTTACCATGTCAGTTAAGAACATGTTATATATAGAAAGGAGTGTGCTCATGTTATTAAGCAGCTAGGCAATTTCAGTTAAAATTAAAGGGTTCTGGGTTATCCTACAGTGGAATATTCAAAAAATGCTAGCAGGATAATGAAGTTATTGACAAATGAAGACTTTGCAGAAAATCCTACTACTACTTTGCAGATATAAATAGCATGGAAATTATTTGTAAAATTATAGCCGCAAAGTAGAACTATAAGAACAAAGCACCTAGAATGAAGTTAATATGATGTTTTATGAAAGTCATATATAAGAGTATAGTAAATGCCACTTGTGTTAAAATTGGTAGTACATGAACAAAGGAGTGAAGTTAGTCAACTCCCGGTCTCCTGATTTGTCTATTTAATGAATTGAAGTTCCACTCCATTTTTGTAGTATCTTGCAAGGAACAAGTAAATTAATCCTGACTCACTGTACCGGCTGCATTGCTGTTTTCTGATATTCTTTTTCTACGAATATTCTTTTTCTATGAACTGATGTCACTAATGTAGATCTCATTCCCATTGCCCATTGATTGTTTCTTTTTTCTCTCTATATAGAAAATTACTACTACATTTAATAGCAGACACAAATATCAATAAATGTATAATTTAGGCAAATTTGGGTTAGCAGCTTTCTGAAATTCAGTTGAACATATTTTTACACTAAGTGCAAATCTGGTCATTTAAAATGGGCATTGAAGAAAAGTTATAATTGACCACTGTTTAGTGATGTTTTTATTTGCTTAGAAGAACATAAATGCTCTCCTCTTCCACACCCAGTACGTACAGAATTATACACTGACTATGTCCTAAATTATCCTGTTCCCAAAGAAATTAATAGTGATATACGCAACAGCAACAAGGGGCTAAAATGATTAGACCTACTTTAAAAAAATCTCATTATGCACTGTTGAACCTGAATATCAGATTTCATGTAGCAGTTACTGGGAAATAAGAGATTTGGGATGTCAGAGAGTCAATTTAATTAAGTATTTTTTAATATTACATAAAGGGGCATGTGCATTAAATTAATAACATGAATTGAGAAAGGTAGGACATTAAAAAATCTTCAGATTCTTAGTCGAGTAGTTTGACCCGAGTAACTCTGTACCTTAATTTTGGTCTGGCCTCATATGCTTTATGTTTTATTTTATTATTGTTACATTGCTGTTAATTATTATTATTACAGTTCTTTATTCTTTTACTGGATTTAATTTCCCTTTACAAATATGCATGGACCAAAAATGTGACTTTGGGAGACTATTGCTGAGTTATTGCTGATGTCAGTTTCACACTATGATATTTTTTCTCTATTTACCAAGAGATCAGTATTTCAATGTAACGATGTGCATGTTTTCCCCCCTTCTCCCGCTGCATGCAGGGATTCGGGTTCGTAACTTTCGAGAATAGTGCTGATGCAGACAGGGCCAGGGAGAAATTACACGGCACCGTGGTAGAGGGCCGTAAAATCGAGGTGCATGTCTTTAATAATTCAATTTCTGGTTTATATTTTTATTTCTCTTTTTTCATATTGCCTCACTTATTTCACATTTGGAACCCTGTCTTGTGTGTGCGCGTGCACATGTATGTGTGTTTGTATCTCTGTCTTCTTCACCTTCTTGCACTAAAATGTATAAAAGTAACACTTCTATCTGCCTCCCTCCTCATTTATTGGTTGTTTGGGGGTTTTAATTTTGACTTTGTGTGTGTGTGTGCTTTTCATTTATGTTTTTCCTCCAAAATATTCATCCTTCTGCTCTCTTGATTTTTTTCCTTTGCTTCAGTTTGCAAGACTCTGAATTCCTGTGATCAGGCCTAAGCAAAACTAATGTTTAAATTGTTAAAACTATCCAATTTATAACACTGTGTTCTATAATGAATCAAGGGGCCAGCCAATATCCTCTCTCTCGGGAGGCCAGTTTGCCTCTATGTGCGCATGATAAGCACGGAATAGAAGATTCTAGAGATTATGGGGAGGGAGGAAAAAATCCAAAACTCATGTAGTTTTTAAATATATCTAATACCAAGAATTTTGATAGCTAAATTTCTATGGATAAAATTCTTAAACAGAGGGTTTGATGGCTGGCTGGCGAATGTACTGTGATTATGACTAAGTCTACCACCTGGTATTCACCAGCCCTTTTTGTTAACACATCGAAGGTTAACTGGCTCCTTTCCCCTCTCCCAATTTTTAAAAGTATTAAATGTAAAAGCCACCATTTTGAGTAAGATGTCTGCATATTTTGCTTTTTTTCCCCTCCTTTCCAATGGTTTAGCATTTAGGGCCCTTCACTTGACTCACTCTTTCCATGGTAACTATACACAATGCTGGCGATGGTGCCCGTTGGCGGTAAGTGAAACAAAAGCACTAGAGAAGAAGCTTTTAAAAATGTAATTACAAAACAATTAAATAAGAAAGAAAAAGTCCATCTGCCATCTCACATTAACACTACAAAATGTGATTTGACTTGTTGTTCCTCTTCCTTTTCCTTTCCCCCTTTTATTTTCAATGCTGTTGAGTAATGCCGCCTGGATTTTGGATGTACATATTGTTTTGTAGCAGTCTGAGCTGTTTGATTACTGACTTCATGGTGATTTTTTTCCCCTTGCACATCTTACTCAGAGTTACTGAACTCCAGTTTGGCTGGTTTTATTAATGCACTTCCTGCCCCTACTTCCTTCCCTACTTTTCCTGTTTCCCAAACCCCTGTTTGTAGCTCTGATTGTTCTTTCTTTGCCCGTTACACCCTTCCTGACTTTCTCTTTTCTTTTTCCCTACCTTATTCTCTTTTTCCAAATCCTTGCTCTTGTCCTTTTCCCTATTCTCCTTTCCCATCCCTTCAGTTACACGCAGCTCTTGGTCCCTTTTTCGCTGACTGGTGGTTTCTGATTGGTTCTGGCCATTTTTCCGTTTAAGTGCTTGGTTGCTTTCTGCTCCAGCAGCTGGTTTCAGCTCTTGCTCCATTCTAATCCTTGTCTGTGAGAACCTTGCTTTTCACTTTCTCCCTTCTTTCCAAAATTGATTGTTTTTTCTTTCTTTTATTTGTGTGTGTGTGTTTTTTAACTGCATGCTCTCAGTCTCATCATTGTTGTATCCCATTCTTTCTTTTTAAATGTGAAAATGTTTATATTATTTGGTGGGTAAAACTAGAGTAAATGGAGTTTCAAGCTCTCCTCATATAGGGGGAGCGTCACTGTACAGATCTTAAAAGACATAAGAAGAGGTTTTTTTAGTTCTAATTCTACTTAAAATTGGTCTTTTCATAACACAAATTTATTACCATACAAATTGAACACAATGTAAATTTGAAGAGGCAAAAATAAGACATTTATATTTTATGATTCTTTTTTCAATTGGCATGTTGTATGACCTGACAACACAGTATAAGTCAAGTTCTATGGTGGGGCTTTACCCTCCTTGCAAGAGCTTTGAGACTGGTTTTGTCACTGGACTGCAGTATGCTGGCATCAGAGTTCCATTCATCTTTTCTTCAGTAGCACCATCTTTGTAACACCTGCTTACTCTGGCACTGAAGATGCTTTCAAATATGCAGCTCTGTAATGAGGGTAGAGAGTACCATAAAACAAAACAAACACTTTATTTTCTCAATTATTTGAAGTGCCTACTTTAAAGGCTTTCTTAAAAGCTTTGTTCTTAAATTGATAGACCATGTAGTCCAGAAAATTCAGAATAGTCCTGAAGGCTATCAACATGGGAATCTTAGGTTTCTATATTTGTTTACTAACCTCAGACAGTAAAAATCTCGGACAAACATATTAAAAATGCTAAACATTAGGACAGGTGAAATCAGATTTATTTTATCACCTTTCCATCAATCTATTTAATGACCCATGTGGCAAGCCTGTTTTAATTAACAAACTTCAAAGTGAATTGCTAATATCGTTGTTTACTTTTTTCCATATTTTCCTTAATACAGAGATTTCTCTGTTTAAAAGGTGTCCAAAGATCTTACAAATGTATTTTCTTGGAGTACTGATATTTGGAAACCAAGAAACTCATTTTACTCTTGTTAGCCTCATTTAATAAGCACTTTAATTAAAATACTATATATTAATATTTCATATTGCTGTGTTAATTATTTAAATCAACGCTCTCAGAAATTTACATTTTAAACTAAGTACTGTGTTACTGGATGTGCAACTTTATATTCCCTAATGTGGTCCACTTCCTCCCTGCCCTTTTTTCTCCTTGTTATTTTTAGGTGAATAATGCTACAGCACGTGTAATGACCAATAAGAAGATGGTCACGCCATATGCAAATGGTAAGGAATTATAAATCATCTTCAAAATAGTGTTTATTCTTGTGTAAATATATGAAGCTTTTTGTAAACTTCTAAGAATCCCTTTATTTCAGTCTTAAGACAGTTTAATTTGTGTTGAAGCAGTCTCTTTACCTAGGAGAGTATTTTATGTTTACAAAATAACATTGTCATTATAATTGAACTAAGTTTTTTAGTTATTAAGGTGTTATGTTCTAAGTAAAGTTCATCTTTTACACAGTGCAGACATGCTATCTAGTTGCCTATTAACCCAAATTGGATCCCACCGGAGCACCTTCTTTTTCAGTTGCAATAGTTCTTTATAATGTTAGACTTGTCCATAATTCCCCGGGATGCCCACTGACTCTCACTTTTACTACGGACTCTCATTCATCTGAGCATAAGTGGAATAAGTTAGTGGGTTAATCACTTTATAATTCTGGACCCATTGCTTTCCTTAGGCTTAGAGGTAACAGCCATGAGTATGGTTATGTGTGCATCATTTTCTATTTCATGATTATGTATCATAAAGTAAGCTTTATAACAGTGTTTCTCATTGAGAAGGAATTTTCTATGAATAATTTGTTACATCATTGCCAAATTTAATCTAGACTTGTGGTCTCTGAATAAAATGGAATATAAATTTAATCTGTAGCCCAGTGGTGGTTTTGCAGACTGTGCTCTGCAGAGCCAGTTTGAGGGAGAAAAAGGAAACCAAATGAATTGAATCCTAAGGTCTCAGCTATACTTCAGTCTAAGCAATTTAGGGTTCTGCATAAGATTTTATTAATATCGCCGGGCGCGGTGGCTCAAGCCTGTAATCCCAGCACTTTGGGAGGCCGAGGCGGGTGGATCACGAGGTCAAGAGATCGAGACCATCCTGGTCAACATGGTGAAACCCCCTCTCTACTAAAACTACAAAAAATTAGCTGGGCATGGTGGCGCGTGCCTGTAACTCCAGCCACTCACGAGGCTGAGGCAGGAGAATTGCCTGAACCCAGGAGGCAGAGGTTGCGGTGAGCCGAGATCGCGCCATTGCACTCCAGCCTGGGTAACGAGAGCGAAACTCTGTCTAAAAAAAAAAAAAAAAAAAAAAAAAATTTATTAATATCTAGAAAAAAGGGGGGAGTTTCTGCTATTTTTTTTTTTTAAAGTTTACACCTACTGCTGGAGTATGGCTATACGTGCCAATAATGTCTTAAATCAAGGAGAAAAGCATTAGTATTAACTGTACCCCATAGTCTTCAATAAATACGTTTAGCCCAGCTTTTCACATAGATCATGCAAATTTATCAGCATAGTTTGCATTTTTCCTACTCCTTTTATAAATATGCTACCACTGCCTCCCACTTTACCTCTTATTTTCTTTTCACTGCTCTTAAAAAATAAGTCTCTACAATTTTGATAGAAACTCAAAGTAAAGAAAATAGAAAGGAGAGGCAAAGAATGTCAAATTTTCTGTACACCTGGGGAAAATATTGTGGTAGAAAGAGCCTCTGACTGGAATTCAGAAAACAGAAATTCTACTTCTAGGTTTGACTCTTTATTTACTCTGTGACAGCACACCAGTTATTTTTTTTTTTAACCTAATTCTGTTTTCATATTTATAAATTGAGACCACAGATTTTTGACACCCGGGTTTTTTTTGTTTTGTCTTTGGTTTTTGTTTGGTTTGTTGTTGTTGTTGTTGTTTTTAGAAATTATTGCAACTCAACCCTACCAGCTTATTATTAGGAAACAAGACCCAGAAAAGTATAGTGTTGACCTAAGGTTTCAGGTGTGATATCTATTTTACCTTCCTCTTTGGGTTTGTGAAGGTCAAAGGACATCTGTGAAAATACATTGTAAATTGTCTAAAACTAAATATGCTCAAAGTATTACTAACAACATATCAATATATATTTATTATATGAATTTTTGTTTTTGCTTTTGTTTTGAGGCAGTGTCTTACCCAGGCTGGAGTACAGTGGCACAGTCTCTGCTCACTGCAACCTCCACTTCCTGGGTTCAAGTGATTCTCGTGCCTCAGCCTCCTGAGCAGCTGGGATTATAGGCGTGCGCCACCACATCCAGCTAATTTTTGTATTTTTAGTAGAGATAATGTTTTGCCACATTGGCCAGGCTGGTCTCAAACTCCTAAACTCAAGTGATCTGCCCGCCTCAGGCTCCCAAAGTGCTGGGATTACAGGCTTGAGCCACAGTGCCACCCAATTATGTGGATTTAAAGCAAATGCTCAGGAAATAGTGCCATTGGTAGGAAAGAAAAGTTATTTTTAAAAATATTATTCTAAATTAGCATTCAGACCTAGTAGTCAAGAAACCTTCCGCTACTGCGTTAAAAGTCCTGAGAAGAATGTGCTGGGTTCCTCCTAATGAATTCTCAGTGAGCATTCTCATTTGGGTTGGTTGGAATCTCTTAATTTGTGCAGGAATGTTGCACAGTAGTAGTGTAATTTGATATTGCAGAATATTTGTGCTCTTACAATTCAAGTAGGATTTGAACCTAGATTTTGCCGAAATTTTAGGTAGAATATTGAAAAGACATTGTATTTTGTGAGCACATAAAATGATGAATAGGAAATTGGATTGAATCAGACTGAATGAGTTTTCACTTAAATAATGTCTTTGCTTATAGTCATTTAAATCTGGTAATGTCAATAATTCTAATGAAAAGGCCAATTCTGGCTAGGCACAGTGGCTCACGCCTGTAATCCCCAGCACTTTGGGAGGCCGAGGTGGGTAGATCACCTGAGGTCAGGAGTTCGAGACCAGCCTGGCCAGCATGGTGGCACGTGCCTGTAGTCCCAGCTATTCGGGAGGCCGAGGCACAAGAGTCACTTGAACCCAGGAGGCAGAGGTTGTGGTGAGCTGAAATAGAGAAGGCCAATTCTGGCCTTTTTTTCCTTTCATTTGCATATTTATAGACTAGTAGTGTGACACAATGCTAGGGACTTAATATAAAAGAAAACAAATGAGTCAGAAAAATAATATAGAATATTTTTGCTTATTATATGTAAAATTCAATTAATAGTTATTAAAGTTTACATGTGGAATTCTACCTTTATTCACTCTGAGTAGGCAGTAAAATATTATTTATTTTTTTAAAATAACTTGTCATATTCCTATAAATATAAAAAAGGGAAAGAAGAAATAAAGTTGACATTAAACACAATGTTATTTGGAAACTCTTAATATTTATAAATATTTAAGCTAATGTTCTACAGCATTCTGGTGTTTTTTAACTAAAAAGTCTGATTAACTTAAAGGTGATTATCACACATTAAAACCTCAGAAAACATGCATGAAAATTGGGAATGTATCTCGAATTTTATTTCCTGTCTTTCATTTTTTAGTTGGTGAACCCCAATAGAATCCCAATGGTAAATCCCAGTGAAAGTGAATTTCAGTTTACCTGGGATACCAGCATTGTATAATTGAACATGGAGTCAAAGATCTATGTTAAATTTTAGTTCAGCCCAAGGATAACTTTATTAAACAACTAGAGTTTATTAAACTTTATTAAACAACATGGTTAGGAAAAGTGCATCACAGTGTGGTACAGAATAACATATAGTCTGTCTTCTTTCTTTTTTCTGAATGAAGAATAGGTAATCTGGGGTAATTCTGTGAGAACACTGTACCAAACTCTAGGATTTATTTATATTTGTTTTTTCTCCTCTCATTCCCTCTCCATCTTCCTCCCTCCCAACATCGTGACTCCTGCCAAGCCCCCACACCCAGCCCCTCATCATCTCTTCACTGTGTGCTAGTTGTACTATTGTTACTCTCTCATATAAACCCCAAGCTGGAAATCTAAAGAGAAGTTGGTAATAGACAAAAGTAACCCCAGTCATGGCTGAAGCCAACTTGCCGTGCATTGATCATTCCTTTCCTCAAGTAGTCTTAAATGCTCACTTTCCTTTTTGTGTGTTTCAGGTTGGAAATTAAGCCCAGTAGTTGGAGCTGTATATGGTCCAGAGTTATATGCAGGTAGTATTTAAGTTAATGTTTCCATTTGTGCTATTTGATTGTAATAGCATCTGTTGTTTTTCAATTTGCTATTCCTTTTTTAATCTTTTTGCGTTTTTAAATTTTTTTTAAATGCAATCAGCATCCAGCTTTCAAGCAGATGTATCTCTAGGCAATGATGCAGCAGTGCCCCTATCAGGAAGGGGGGGTATCAACACTTACATTCCTTTAATCAGTAAGTAGCCTATGTTGGTCTGGCATGGATTTTGACTGTTGTGAATGAACCGTCATGTGCTGGGTTTTTTTGTTTGTTTGTTTGTTTTTTTCCTAGTACAATACATAACTGAAATGAAAATTTCTTGAGAGGAATATTAAATACTATCCCAGTGCCCTGTCCTGCTTAACCTGTGCCAGAATTTTCCTGACCAAATATTAAGATTGCTACAAAGCAAAAACAGTTGCAATAGGTAGGGGGGTAAGGGCATATGAAGAATATTTTAGTCTGTACTTGATGGTAAAGAAAACAGAAGCAATTCTGTGTAGAGTATGTTATACATTTTCTCTGCAAGTCAGCCACAGGTTCTCCAGCAGAGGAACACTTAGAAATACCTCCAGTATTATTGATTATTCTCAGCTCTCATGATCTCTCTAAAGTCATTTTGACCTGAGCCATTTTACTCCAGCAAGAGGTGTAATTAAAAAGGATTCAGTGAACATGGAATCAGTGTCTCTACATGCTTTCCAGAGGACGGCACACTTAAAATAGGCTCTTAGAAATTGTCTTCCTCTTTGGATATAAGGCCCTTAGAAACTGTCTGCCTTTTTAAAGGACAAGGGAGGAGAGGTTTCCCTCACCTTACATTTGTGGATTAAAATGTTTTAGATAAAAGAATGAAATTGACTAATGAAATGAAATGCCTAAAGACTATTGTGTGCCTTGGAGGTTGTTACCATGTAAAAATAAGAAAATAATGTTCTTTTTGAATAATAGTTATTATGTGCACATACTAACGTTTGGAAGCAAGGTTAATAATAACTGACCGGTTGAAGAGTTTATGTCAATCTGATTTAGACTGCCCACAGTAATTAAAAGTCTCTTGTTATGGCAGTCATTCCCAGAGCTTCTTGACCTGTTTCTCACTTGCCTTTTAAAGCGGAAATTGAGAACAGAGAACGCTCACTCAAGATTTGTGATGAATGAGGCATGGAATCTTTTGCTTTTGCATGTTGGGTCTCTCTTTCCATTTCTTGCCCACTGAGAGACCCAGGGTAGGAGGTTTATTGAATGCATGCCACCTTTTCAAGAAAGATGTGGTTCATATGTTTTCATCTTTTCTATAATTGGTTCATAGAAAGTTGTGACTGTATACCCTGTATTCAATAGGAATGCAAGTTGAAATTTCTGTCATATTTTGGGTCTCCCTTTAGTTCCTGGCTTCCCTTACCCTACTGCAGCCACCACGGCAGCCGCTTTCAGAGGAGCCCATTTGAGGGGCAGAGGGCGGACAGTATATGGTGCAGTCCGAGCGGTGCCTCCAACAGCCATCCCCGCCTATCCAGGGTAAGCGTTAGATTCCAAAATCAGTATGTTTCTAAAATAAACAGTTGAACCAAAAAAGAATACCATGGCCCTCTCATAACTTCTGGGATGTTGCCGTGTTACATTGTAGACATTTAGTGAATATTTGCAAATTAACAGATTAGATGACAAGAACCAAAATATACCATCATCAGAATGTAACACAATGTCAATTCATTATATAAGTCTTCATTTGGCCACCTTAAGCCCTCATGTTAATGGCTTAAGACAGTAGCCAGAACCGTCTTGTGTTTACTAGCAGTGTGTTGGCATGAAGTTCACTCAGCAGCGCACGAATATGGATTAACATTACTGCAGAGAACCAAAAGAGGAGCTCGAGATTGTAGTACAAGCCTGCATCTGCTGTGTTCACCCCCTTATCACCACCCCGTGTTGGGGCGGAGGCTGTCACATGTGTCCTCCCCTTTGGTTTCATTGCCTGGGTGGTGAGCAGCAGAACTAGTTACCCACAATGGATTTGCTTTCTTTGTAGGAAACGGATTAAAAGAGGTTAATTCTAAGATGAACCAAGTCCAATTGAATCAAGGGAGAGAGGGAGAAATAGGAAGAGTTAAACTGCAGTTGGCTTCTGAATGATGGTAAAACGATGACTGTAGCTGAACATCCTTCACCATTTGATTTTTTTATGGAGGGTGTCTCATGCAGTGGAATGATTCCATAGCAACAAATAAATCCTTTGTTACTGAATGGGGAAAAGGAGTGAAGATGGCAGGTTTTGTTTTTAGTGGTTTCTCAGTGTCAGCCAAAAATGTAAATTTTTATGAAGAGTGGTCTTTCAGAAGTCAGTTGTACCAAGGACTTCCTCATCAAAGATGTGACATTTCTCCTTATCTTTTCTCTGCCTATGACAGATTTTTTTTTTATTTTTTTATTTTTTTTATTTTTTGGTATTCTTGTGGAGGAATAAGTAGCAGCAGAGAAGTTTATTGGCTGCTACTTAGTTAAAATATTAAAGGGAAGGAGCCTCCTTTGTATGTCCTTTTCTGACAGCAAAATTGGCTTATCCTTGAGATGTACTAATTTAGCATTCATTCATTGATTAATAGACCAAATGGATGTACCATTAGAAGTTCTCTGTTCCACAGAGTTAAAACATTTTTATTAGACAAAGTATGTTGAATTAGGCAGGCTCCAAAAGACACTGGAAGGGAACTGCTTCAGAAATTAACTTCTGTTTGGAATCTGTAGACATTTAAATCACATGCATTCCATCATCTCCATCTTATGCCATTACTTACTTTTATTTTAATCCTTTTTTCTCTCAGCTTGACCTTTGACCTTCAACCTCTGACATCTCTTTAAAGAAGTGAATATGCAGTATTATTTTATTAAGAAATATTCAAATGAAACATTAAACTGAACTTTTGGAAGCTTTACACACTAGGAAAATTGTTTGTGAAATGTCTTCCATTGTAATCCAAGAGAGTTTATTGTTATATTTGCAAAGAGAATCTACTCACCAGAAACATGGGACTTCTTTATTTTGGAACATTGCTGAATTACTTTATAAAGTGGTTAAATTAAGTCCTGTTCAATGTAGTCATTTCAGTATATTGGCCAAACTTGAGAACCCATTCTCTATCAAGTCTGTGTCAGATATATATTTACTCAAAGACATTTTATCTTTATGTCTAATCATGTCAACTTCTGTGCATTACATTGAACACTAATTTCCCATGTTTTCTTTTTATTAACTAAAGCACCTGTTTACATGGAAGATGGCAAGGAATAAGTCCAGTATTTCATGGGAATGGCCTAGAATTGCTTTTCAGCTTAGTAAACTAATTTCGTCATTAATCATTATGTTCTAGCCTCCTTGTGGCATTTGATACAGGGAATATTGGAATTCTTCTAGAATTTAGATGAATATTCCCAGTAAGTGATTTGACTTAGGGTAAATGTTATTTGTGTTTTTAATGCCAGCACTTCTTTATAGGAGGCATGTTTGTAAATCTTTGCCTATATCCCCTTACTAAGATCTTTGAAGTGTAATTAATCACCACTTGGTCTCAATGCTTTCTATTTTATCAGCCTTCTCATTTTGAACAAGTGTTTTTTTCACTAAAATGCAATTAGGAGGCAGATTACTTTCTAATATCAGACTTTAACTGCAGCTGGAGACTATGAAAATGGAAGAGACTTAGCTAAATATACATCAGAGATGAGTCTGATTTGCCTGTTGTGTGTTACAAGGGCATAGCATATTTGGGGCATTCCAAAATGTGACCATGCTATCCTGTAAATGTAACCAAATGTCATTGGAAATAGAATTAAGAAACATTCTAGTTACCTATAAGAAACAAGTTATTTCATATTCAAGTTAAAAATACGATTTTGATGACTTTACTTGCCAGCTTATTTATTGTAACAGAGAAGGTAGTGGTGAAAATTTCCAGCTTGTTTAGTTGAATAATCAATAAACAGATTATCTAAATTAAAATAACCTGATCTTAACAAATATGAAGAAGAAAGTTTTATCTTTGATCTCTACCGTTATTCCATGTCTTTTGGTCCCAAAATAATGTTTTGGGGAAAGTCTGTGTGCACAAAAATACCTCAAAAGTTTGGAAATCTATGTTTAAGAATATAGTGTTGCTTAGGTTTTTGTTTTTTTTTTTTAAGCCATGGATTGTCTGTTTGCTAGAAATTCATTATCTAAACAGGAAAATAAACCCTTCTATTCTTAACCAGCTACCCTCTCAGTTTTATTCTTTTAAATAAGACAGGATGATTTTGATCAAGCCCAGAACTTCAGTTATCAACTGTATTTTTCAGAATTCCATGAATACTCTTATAGTCAAAAAAGAACCCTTAAAATCTTCCAGTTACTCCTTCCCACTCTGGATTATATTGTTACTATCTGGGATCCCCACTGCACCTTTCAATTCTTGGACCTTGGACCAATCACCTTAACCTTTAGCTCATTATCTCTGCTTGTGAAAGCAATGCATTGTGGGTATTTTTGGTTGTGTTTTTTTTTTAATTACATTTCTCTGTTTACTTTGGTCAGAATTGATTGACTTGTTTTTCTGAGGTGTTGCATTGGTTCTTAAAATGCTGAATAATAATACTTTGCATGCTTGTGTGATCAGCCAAATCTTATCGCATGTCTAATGTGCAGGGTAAAAAGCAGGTGATGTATGGATATCAGAAAAACATTTACATATTATTACAATACTGAAAACAAAATACTTAAACATAATTTTAAAACATACTTTGCATACAGGCCCTGCCCTAGTAGAATTCTTTGGGTTCAGTTTTTTCCCGTTAAACCCCTCTTCATCCCTACCCTACTTTTGTAAGCTCTTTAAAAGGAAACTTCCTCCTAGGGCAAGCTTTTAAAAAAAAAAAAAATACTCCACATACAAAAAGTTGTTCCCAAGCCAGCAGATTTTAGATAGGTATAATAGGCTCTTTTAGGAGTGTTTTTTACTGTGTTAATCTTACTTTAATTACTGAGTATCCAGATTGCACATTCCAGTTTTGCACACCTTTCCCTCTCCTCGCATGTCCTGGAGCTGTGTAACATTTGTGTGCACTTTCACATTTTTCTCACCAACTTGCTGAGGCCCCAAGCCCGGGTTATGTATTCATACATCACCTGCCTGTGTAGAGCGCATGTGCATGCTGCCGTCCTCAATAACCGGAATGTGTTTCTGTTCTTTTGTTTTTTTTGTTTTTGTTTTTGTGTGGATTTTCTGCAGTGTGGTTTACCAGGACGGATTTTACGGTGCTGACCTCTATGTAAGTACACACACTGGGGCCTTCTCGACCCCATCCCCTGACAAGCCAGCCTTTTTTTTCTGTTTCTTTGGTTTGGTTTGGTTTTTTTTTTCCTTTTAATTTATGTAATTTTTATTTTCTTTTTCCTTGTGGATATATATATATAAATATTTATATATTTAAGAATGCAAGCATGCTTCTCTGCCACTGCGCTTGCCCCTGGGTGCAAAAACTAAGCCTTTGGGTTTCCTGATCATTGCTAGTGTCAGCCTACTGGACATATTCTTTTCCCTTCCCTATACCCCACAGATGTTCTGTGGATCATTAATTTACTTGTGAGATGATCAGCAGGTTTAAAGTCTTTTATTATTGTTGTGTCATTTGCATACATAAATAACAGGCCTAGCTTAGCCTTAAACCAGCTCTTTCCCTTTTCTGCTTTTCTTCTCATTTCACATCCCTCTTTAGATCATTAGAGCTTTGATTTATGTAGAGGTTAATAAGCTTTCTGATCTGTACATTTTCCTCTTTTACGTACTTTGAGAGAACATGTCCTTGTGATAGTGAAATAAGGAACCGATGCCAGCGAAGAGTGTGTAGTAATGAGAAAACGCCAGACGTTTAGTTCTTAGGAGCCACTGGGGGAAATGAGTAGCATAATCAGCAACCCAGACTCTTCTTACAGCCATTTGACTATCATAGATTTGCTGATTCCACTAGCCATATTAATATATAACCCATTACTTAAACTGTAGCTATCACTAAAGTTCCATGATTGTTTGTCACATGTTATTTGAAATGTGGACAAAGTAATTGACAAAGTCAAAGTTTTTGAGTTTTAAAGTCTTCTATTATGACCTCTTCAGATGGACTTTTTCTGAATGCAAGCTTGATCTAATCACTCAAGTCATCAGGAGAGAATTTTTGTAAGAAAAACTTGTCAGCATGAAATGATGCTGTGGGGATAGGTTAAAATTGTCCAGAAATGCTTTCTCCACCCTTACTTTCCAAAATCAGTAAGAGAGCCTTTTTAGTGAACTGTTTTCACAGTCTACCAGAGATTCTCAAGCACTCAGAGGTTTTGTGTTTTGCAGGAAGTAGAGATGGAATAACACAGTTCTTCGAGGTACAGGTGACTTACCCATACTACTTAGTATAGGCCTATAAAGGTATGCCTTAATTTAATAACTACTTGAAGGAACCTTAGCCATGATTTGGTCCAACCTTCATGTATAGATATATTTCTCAGAGGCTTACCCAGAATTACGTAAATTATTAATACAGTCAGGCCTAAAACCCAGCTAATCCATATTTCATTACCTCTCTTTGTACTTTAATTGAAATCCACCTCTTTCCTCAGAATATTTTCAACAAGTAATGAAAGATACCTTTTTTCCTACATTTACAGTGAAGCTTGAGAACTGGGGAATCTATCCTGCTTTTATACCAGATTATACATTTCTAAATACACATACTTACATATAATGTTAGCATGTACATTTTCCCATGTATATTAGTGTCCATATTCTCATGAAACTCATCTTTATGTTATTTAACTTGTTTTCTTGAAATCTGGTCTATTAGAGCAGGATTTTCCATTTGAATTACTTCTTAAATCAAGTTTTTTTCTCTAATATCTTTCTTATTTGGAGATTTTTTTCTTAAATACAACCTGTTTATATTTTATTAAGACTTGCCTACTTTGGCCAGGCATGGTGGCTCACGTGTGTAATCCCAGCAATTTGGAAGGCCGAGGCAGGCAGTTGAGGTCAGGAGTTCGAGACCAGCCTGGCCAACATGGTAAAACCCCATCTCTACTAAAAATACAAAAATTAGCCAGGTGTGGTGGCGTATACTTGTAGTTTCAGCTGCTTAGGCCAAGGCAGGAGAGTCACTTGAACCCTGGAGGCAGAGGTTGCAGTGAACTGAGATTGCACCACTGCAATCCAGCCTGGGAAACAGAGCTAGACTCCATCTCAGGAAAAAAAAAAAAAAGAGTTGTCCACTTCGACCTTGTTAAGTCAGCCAACCAATTTTTTTAAATAGTTCTCTCATTTCCTTACTTTACAATGTAAGATTTTATTGAGACATGATTTTTCTGTACCTGTTAATAAAATACTCTTGATTTTTTTTTTTTTTTTTTTTTTTTTTAATCTACTAACTGGATTACCTTACTGAGCTAAACACAAGTAATTGAGTGTTTCTTGCTGAAGAAATTTTTTTGGACCAGTGTCCCCTTGTTAATGAAAGTAATTAAGAGTAATGTTCGGCTGGGCGCGGTGGCTCAAGCCTGTAATCCCAGCACTTTGGGAGGCCGAGGCGGGTGGATCATGAGGTCAAGAGATCGAGACCATCCTGGTCAACATGGTGAAACCCCGTCTCTACTAAAAATACAAAACATTAGCTGGGCATGGTGGTGCATGCCTGTAATCCCAGCTACTCAGAAGGCTGAGGCAGGAGAATTGCCTGAACCCAGGAGGCGGAGGTTGTGGTGAGCCGAGATCGCGCCATTGCACTCCAGCCTGGGTAACATGAGCGAAACTCCGTCTCAAAAAAAAAAAAAAAAAAAAAGAGTAATGTTATTATTTCTTAATTCCTATCTTAAAGCAGAGTTATTTAGAGAAAAAAGTTGGTCACTAGTGCTGAAATAATATCCACGCCTAAACATGAAAGGCAAGAATACATTATGAGGTAACTACTGAGTTAGGCCTAATATAACTTGCTTTTAAACCTGTGTGTTCTCTATTCCACATGTGAGGGAGCAAAGGATACTTCTTCAGAAACACGCAAACAACAAAAAACTATTATTTTGCCTTGAGTTTGTTCTGCTTCTCTCCTTAAATTTTCCCATCTGTGGAAATCTGTCAGTATACATTTAGTTCTTTTTTCCTCTGAAAGGCATATTAGAAACAGAAGGAATAGAGAGTTTAGCATAAGAAGTGCACCGAATCGGAGCTTGAAGAGAAGACACGAAGGAGAAGATTTTAAATTGCTGTTTTTGCCTAAGTAAAATTAATTTAGGCTATGAATTTTGCAAGGTTTTTGTAATCCCTTTCACTGTTCCATTCTTAGTGATTGCTGCTAGCCATTTTTTTTCTGTTTCTTTTATGGCACATTCCTCTCTGGAGAACTGATCTAGCAATTGTGTTCCTAGTTTGTAAAGAGACCTACCGTGATAGGATCTGGGAGTGTGGCAGCTAGATTATGTATCCACCCCTCCCTCTTCTTTTCTGACCAATAGAAAAGGCATAGTTCGCCCTAATTCACTTTTTAAATGGGATAACAAACTGCTCCTAATTCACCTCCTGTGAAAAGCATGCTTGCATCCAAAGGAAAGAAAAGGCTGGTGGGCCCCTTAGCGGGCTTTTTGTATGATTGTTTTCCTTCCACAGCTGTGTTTTTTGAACTGCTCTTCCTGTGTTCTGTTATAGAATAGTCTTACAGGAACCAATCATTAGCGCTAAAATACCTCAGGTAGGAGTGCCAGTGTGACCTGCCAATCAATCAGATTGTGGATTGCAGTGAAAAAATTGAATTATACTAACCATTCCAGCTCCACGTTAGAGATGGGAACAGAGGCTTTTTTGGACAATCAAGACTTGTGAGCGTGTGATCTAAGCCCTGCTACCTCAGCAGTGCACACAGTCACATTCCGTACATAATGGCACTTCCTCCAAAATTAAGTGCTCCTGTCCTCTTGACACATATCCCAGCCAGGTGTGTAATATGCACTGTCCCATCACTGCCACCTCTTTTGATTTGTCAGTCACATTTACCTGTGTTATTTAAACTGTTTTTTTATATTTATATCTTAGCAGTTGGGGACATTTTCTTACTACTATAAATTTAGAAAAGAGAAAAAAGAGGAAGTTGAACTGTACAAATAGGATTCCCGAATCCCACTTTGGGCCCTGTAGTGAAGTATCAGTAGTAATTAGGCTGTGCTGCTACGTAAGTTTAAAGTTGCCTTAAAAATCTAGACTTACGGGACTCAAAAACTGAGACATGCATCTCCCTTGCCCTCTTCTCCTTTCACCTGAGAACATCAGTGAGTTTATTTGGATAATAGCACACTTGTTAGAAAGATTGCTGATAGCTGGATGCTAGGAGAGAGAAAATAGTTGATGGCTTTTCACAATTCAGTTTATTTATGTGACTACCTAGCAAGGTTTTGGAAATGAACTAATTTGGGGAAATTTGGAATAATAATGTTTGAAAGGTTTGATTTTTGAAAATCATCTCTCATCTACCATAGAAATAATAGGAATATATCAAGTTGATCATAGCAGTTTTTTCCCTTAACCCTAGTTTTAAATAATAATAAGATAAAATTTAAATACTTTAAAATTTTTTCATAAGTACTTTTCAAAGGAAATAGACGTCAGTCAAAAGCAGTGACAGTATTACCATTATTGTAAGTTTCTGTGTTACTCACATTTCATCGGTAATGCCATTTTGCCACAGAATAACTCTGTATCTCCTGGAACCATGTTTCTCAGCAGGGCTGGGGATAATGGTGAGGACAAAGAGGGAGTTAGAATCATCCGAGGATAAATAAAGTGATTCCTGGAGGCCCAGCATTAAACATCCATGTTAGTTGGAATAGATCTCTGCTCTGCTGTAGCGATTTTAAGCATCATACCTGCCATTCCTTACCCCCATTGCCTTACCCTCCTGCTGTATTGATCTATACACTACATGTAGGTAACAAGCTTTCATTTTGTCTGCTGGTCTTGAAAAACACACTTTCCTCCTCAGTGTCACATAACGTCATTGTCTTCTGGGTAGAAAGAAGGTGTCTTGACATCACATGCTCACCAAAGTCCTGTTTTAATGTAAACCTTAAACAAAAATAAAATTAAAGGCTAGGTTAAAAGGAAGACAAAGCAAAAGTCTTACCAGTATGAGATTAAATTAATAAATATGCAGATAAAGGTCAGATATGGGGGGGATTCTATTCTATTCTGTTTTGCTCTAGATTAAAAGACAGCTACACAACTGTGCCAAAAGATCATGTGGTCAGCGTGGCAACATCATAAAGTTAATTAGATGATAAGATTGGTTCAGAGCAGAGTAGAAAATTCCTAGGAGATAACATTGAGCCATGAAAAACTGAGACTTTAACAACTGCAGAAAACACTGTGGAAATGATCGTAAAGTCAACTTTTCAGAGGCATTTTCCTTTGAAGAAACTGAAAGTGGAACTCAGAGATATGTTACAGATAGGTGAAAAAATACAGTTCCTAAACACAGGAAATATTTTAGAAGAATGCTATGGATTAGAATGTACGATTGTTGACAGAGGGCGAGCATACACGTGAGTGCTGTGGGTCAGGACTGTTTTATATTGCCAGTGTCAGGCAGGTTGAATAGGGAAGTGATGGAGCATTGGGCAGCCCCACTGGGGACACCAGGAGTCATTCAGAATGAATTGCAAAGGAATAAGAATAATTCTTTTTAAAGGGGCATGTGTGTATTTGAATTAAGCTTAGCCAAGCCAAATTTATCCAGCTATCAGAGTTCCAAAAAACCGTCCGTGTGTGCCCTCCTACATTAGGGTGTGCTGTGGCCATGCTAATCCCCATTTTTTGTTTTATTTCAAATCACACACAGATAGAATCTGCAAACTGCTTCAGATCAAACAGGTCTGATTGTGTGTAAATACATATGTCCTTTTTAATTTTTATTATTAATGGTTGCTTCAGTTTTGCATCAGTGCATGGTTAAAAGCAATACACATCAGCTATTTCATGACTTCATATCTCCAAATGAATTATTTCTCCTCTTTTTTTGTTTGTTTGTTTGTGCAGTCAGCTGAAGAAATGTTAACATCTCACTCTAAATCTCTCAGTGGAGTCTCTGTTCCCTTCTCTGATATAACAGATGGGTTACTGCTTGTTATAATTATTAACATTGTGGTGTGGGCCAGGGCTAGGGTGGGCAAGATTTACTATTTCTTTGGGCTGGGGAGGGGCCAGTCGTTAGGGTATGGAATGTTAACTCAAGTGGTGACTGACTGTTTCCGTAATACCAGGTCGTTGTGGCTGCACGCTCTAGTAATTGAGGCTGTGTACTTCACCGAGCTTGTGGTAGAGCCTAGGGCAAACCGCTGTCCCAAGAGAATGCTGGGATAGATAGAGTTAGCCAATACGAGTCTGAACGTGGTGATTTTGCTGGTTGTTTTAGCTCCAGATGTTGGCATGCTTAGTTTTTAATGTGATTAATAAATGTGGCGCCATATCCCTCCCCACGCCTGAACCCTGTCTTTCCTACCTCCTTCCCACCCTTGTTCTTTTTGAAAAACTTAAGAAACAGTAATGAAAACCTTGGTGTTTCAAACTGCAGTTTGTTCTCATGTTTTATAAAAGTCTTTAGATTTGCTAGTAAGAGTGAAAGTTGAAAAAACGGTTTCTCAGCCTGAAATTTCTATGCACTTTGAAATCTAGAATAGAAATAAATATATCTGAATTTTTTGTCTTACATTTTATAATATGTTTTGTTGAATAACTAAAGCAGAAGCAGAAATACTTTCGAGTGAGAGAGAGAGAGAGAGAGAGAGAGAGAGTGTGTGTGTGTGTGTGTGTGTGTGTGTGTGTGTGTGTGTGTGAAAAAGAGAAAGGGGGGGAATACATCCATGATAACAATTTTTCTACTTTTGGAGTAGTCATTTGTGAATTACCAAGTTAGTAGGATATTGCCCATCTGTCCTAAAATAGTCCTCCTTTTAAAGGTTTCTCTGTAATGCCATTATTATAAAGTAATTAGGAGAATAATCATGTTGAAGTCATCTGCTTTAAAAAAAAACTATTAATGTGTTTTTTCTTAATGCTGATATTCTTCTCGAGCCTTTTGTTTTCAATAAAATATTTGCAACCCTGTTCTGTTTTCTTCAGCTTGAAAAGCAGAGAGCTTCATCAAATTTAAACTTCAAAGTCAGAGTTCAGTTATAAAAGAAGGAAACCACTACAGATAGAGTCTCTCCATCCCCTTCTGGATTGGAAGGATAATTCTTTTCCATAGTCTGATCCATTTGAATTGTTTTGGTTAGCAATAACATTACTCCTAAACCACAGAGGTTCTGATGGCTTCCTGTAGGCCTAGGAAAATGAGGGGAAATTGGTTCTGTCAGCAACCTCACTTAGAACCTCTTTTTTCCAGGATGAGTAAAATACAGCTGAAAGCTATGACATGATAGAGTACTCAAAGATTGTACCTCCAGTACTTCACTCAGATTTCCTGGGAGTCAGGTGTGAAGACTACCCTTGACTGAGTACTTTTGAACCTCAGTATCCCTTTGCAGGAATTTATACCTCTGCCATATGGCATAAGACTTCAGTTTTTAATTTTTGTACTTAGGTAAACATGAATTGGGCTTTCACTGCTTTTATTGCCTTCGCTTTTAGAATTTTTTAATGTTACTTTGATGTTTGGAGTAGTACTAAAGAGTATAATGCTGAATTACCCTTGTTTGCAAAGAAGTTTTACTAAATAGCCCTGCTAGAAAGTTACACTAGCAAATTCTAAATGAGTGGAACCATCTCTAGTTATAATGAAAAATTACTAGGGTTTATTTTAGTGTTAAAATTCCAACTGTAATTAACATTTGCTTTGTTTAACAAATGCTTTTACTGCTTCATTTTCTGTTTTAGATGCTTAAAAAAAAAAGAAGTAAGGTAAAGACATACTTTAGTTAATTAAATTATGTCGTGGCCAGGATGTATGGCTTTGCCCAGATCTGTCTAGCCTGTCCATTTCCATAGACCTGGTTAGAATTCCAAGGAACCATGTTGACCAGAAACGGCCCCCAAGGGTGCTTTTCTGCCATGTTTCCATTCATTACCATTTCATTGTCAGTGTTTGGTAATATTAATTAGAGTCTTCATAGATCTGTAGAAGAATTTGTAATTAAGAAGGAAATGTTTACTTTCTAAGTCATTCACTTGAAAAACAAATGAGGAATAATGTATAATCACTGAAAGCCAGTCAGGGATTTTTAGAAGTACATTTGAAACCATCCTGACTTCAAGCAGCGTAAACTTGAAGAGCAGGAATAAGTGTCCTCTCACAGTGCAGTTTCTTCATTTAGAGAAAGCACAAATTAGAAAGGAGCAAAAGCCTACAGAAGCTCTTAAGAAATTATAGCTATTTCTAAAATAAGGGCAACGGAAATAAAAGAAGCAAGCTACGACCTGCCATGTAAGATGGCTGAGAACAGGGGTCCCGTTATATCAATCCCAAGAAATGATGCAGAAGTAAATTCAAAATTTCTTTTGTAGATTTAGAAAAAATCAAAAATTTGAAAAACTAGAAAGTAGAAAGCACAGGGCAAAAACCTTCAGGTATTTATGAGAAATGGGCAGGTTTTATCCACAGAATTAAAGTGTTCTTGCTGTTGTTCACTGCTAAACTCATGTCTAGTTGGGTCAATTGAACTTAGTTGTTTTTGATAGTGAAAGGCCATAATAAAAATTTGCATCTGAATTAGGTTTAGGTAAAATAGATGAATTCTAGGAGGGTAAAGAAGTATAATAAAAAATAGACTTTGCCACTTTAAAAAATATCCTGTCTCATGTGGCAAGCATTTGTTGTGATCGCCTCTGAAATACTTTCTGAAAGAGTGCATGGTTCACCTTGATAGTGAAAACCCTTTGTGTATTTGGGTTGTCTAAACTGAGGTGAAATAGAAGGATGTGATGGCTTTGATGGTTATAAATTCTTTAGGACTGAGATATTTGGACCATTGGAAGAAAAGCTCTAAGTCTGCTGTAAGATTAGTATGTAAGAATCTGAAAACCTTTTAGGGAAGGGAAATTCAGTTTAAGTGCTAGAAGCAGGGTTCCTGATCTATTTGGATCCAGCCAAAGAATCCTCAGAAATTTGTAACCGATTTCCTCAAGTATGAAGTGTAGATCTGAGTTGCCAGACTTTCTATAAAGGGCCAGGTGGTAAATGTTTTTGGCTTCATAGGACATTGGTCTCTGTTACAAGTACTTTCAAAAACAGGTGGCAAGCTGCATTGGCTCACGGGCCAAAGTTTGCTGACCCCTCATCTACATTGTTTTTCCTTCTAAATATGACCTGATTATCTTAGCTTCTTGGCAGACATGCTAGGCCGGATGGAGCAGAGGTTTCTGTTATATGCTGTAGTCTGTTACTAATGAATCAATCCAAGAACACATGAAAGAATCTGAAGTCAGCACATGGAGATTTAATGTGTTTTAAATTTATAATTTATATTTCTTGTCAGAGTTCTCCCAATTTGCTGTAAATGTTTTCGCTTTTGAAAGTTCCAACAAAATCTGTGAAATAAGACAGATCCAAAATGATATCTTCATTTCTGGTATTTAACAGGTACTACCAAAATTTATTTTTAAGACTATCACAAATTGGAAAGCAAATCCTTGCATATCACAGGGCTTAATTTTTTATTGGAGGAATAATAACATGCAGACTGATGCAGTTTGAAACATTTTCTTCCCATGTGTGTGTCTGTGTTTGTGTCAGTCCCTGCGTCTACGTGTATGTACGTCTGTGTGTGGGCGGGTGTGTGTTTTTCTGTACACCTGGGGGGAGAGGTATCTGTAAAGTCAGTTCTTTTTTCTCCTGTAGGGTGGATATGCAGCCTACAGATATGCACAGCCTGCTACTGCAACCGCAGCCACCGCTGCTGCAGCCGCTGCCGCAGCTTACAGCGACGGGTATGTACAGAGACAGAGGTGAGCTCTGGGATGCATGAGAGCTGTTCCATCCCAAAATGTCGCCCATTTTCCTCCCTTTACTGTTTCCACAGCAGCTCTTAGCACATTGGGCATCTTGCCAGCCTGGGCTTTCTGCAGACCTCTTGATGGCCTCTGTCATGCCTAAAGCACAAGGCACTGACTCTGTCCTCCGCTCCCTCTTTCTTGTTCTCATCTCTAATTTGGCTTTGACTCCAGTCTCTCTCTTCCTCATCCATACTCCTTTCTTTTCCATTTTATGGAAGTACTTAAGAATTTTTCAGTTATTGTATTTGGGAGTAGAAATAGAAAGTTTTTTTTCTGTTCCTCATAATTCCAGTTTCTTTGTGATAATCCAAGACCAAAGTGGCTCACAAGTCTTTAGCACAGTAATCTCTTTAATTTTTTTAGATCACACACTTTTCTTTATCTGTCTGACTGTGTTTCTTCTTTCCAGTTATGGCAGGGTGTACACAGCCGACCCCTACCATGCCCTCGCCCCTGCCGCTAGCTATGGAGTTGGCGCTGTGGTAAGTATACACCATTGTTCTATAAAGCCATTTTATTCCTTCTTTTACCCATAGACTACAAAAGGGAGGTAGTACATTTAGCCTGTCATCCACTGTCAGGGTATTAAAGCCACGCAGATCTACCTGGAAGTTTCAAGTCACCCTCTTTATCTGTGTGTTATTATAATGTGAGCCACATGGCCTGGTTAAGGGCAGCAGAAAGGAATGATCAGTGATAGTGTGCCCCGAGTAGTGACATCATTTGTTAGAGAAATAGGGGAACTGGGGAATGTTTTCTGTTGATTCAAATGTTGAGTGCATACCTGTGGCATAATTTCATTGATAGGTGTTGGCAAAGGAGCATGGAGCATAAGGCTGTCTAGTTTTCACAGTAAGCTTTTCAAAAACTTAAGTTTAAAATACAAATCTAAAAGTTGTTCCTGCTATTCCTAAATCCTCTGGTAGATAGTACTAGAAATTACCAAGTGAATGCTTTGTGAGCATATTTTATTGATTATTATCAATTATTGATTATTGATAACAATTGTGGCAAAATGTGTTTTTGAGAGAGGTATCAAAGAAGTCCATAGAAGTAGCACAATTTCTTCCAACCAACACCCTGACTGCAGTATTATTATGTTGGCTTGGGTTCCTCCAGTTTCAGCGATTAGGGTTCACAGGCTGCAACAAAGACAAGCCATTCCACAGTGACACCTCTGCATGCCAGGCTTGCTCTCCAATCCAAAATGCAACTGGGCAACTACCTTCGAACATGGGCAAAGTTGTTTGAAAAGGAGACAGAATGAAGTGTAAAACGTAAGACCTACACGAATATGAGAAAGGCACTTCTCATACTAGATTTCTACTGATGAAGATTTGTGGAAGGAAGTAGTAGGGGGTCCCGAGTGAATATATGTTTATAAGTGAAGTAGAGCATTACATTATAAAGGCGGTGGTGGAAGTTCCTGAGGTTTTCTTTCGTCCTAAACTACTGTAAGTCCTATGCTAAAAGAATGGCCTGAGAATGATACATTCCTGGGAAACTTCTAACTGAAAGAGATAAGCTATTAGATAAAGTCATATATATATATATAAATGTGAATATGTCAAGAAATAGCCTAGTTGGTGTGCTTTGTAGATGATAGAGGAAATAGACTTTATTAAAGACTGAATCAGGTTTAGATGCAGCACCATCTTAAACATGGGCTGTGACCACACATAGAAGAGATCGTGTCAGAAGTAACGTGTACTGCCTATGAGTCATATGTGAGAACGAGAAACTGATGATCTGTTTTCTATCAGGATTATAAGGATGTGTGAAGGTAAAAAGAAACCTGTGCTTTTAAAAATCAAACTCTTTCCAGAACTAGTTTTCAACTGTGTATTGTTTCCCTTCTTTGCTAATGCATATAAATCATGAAATAAAATGCCATCATAACTCTCCTTGAGAATATCAGGTCAGCAATAAATGTGTTGGGCCTTGGTTTGAGCACCTTAGAGACAGAAGCTAGTGTCCTGACTTCACTGCACAAGGCAATGCTTGATGAGTTGCTTTGAGGCTTCAAAGGAGGTTGTGTTTCCAGATCCCTTCTCTGGACATTTTTTTTTCACTTTAAATGGTTCTCTCATCAACCTTTTAATTATTGTTATGTTTTTGATTACTACAGGCGAGTTTATACCGAGGTGGCTACAGCCGATTTGCCCCCTACTGAAGTGACGTGAGACCCCTGCAAATGGGACAGCCCCCCAGTTCATGAGGCCTGGCTATTGCAATATTTACTAGTAGAGGAACTCTATAGCAAGATGAAGAGGAAAAACAAACAAACAAAAAAAACACACAAAAAAAGAAAGAATACTTTTTTATACCTCACTATGTTCTTTGAATATGTATTTTTCCTTTAAATTTCTGCCTTTAACTCTTTTGTTCCAAAGATTGTGCATTTTTTTTTCTTTTTTTTTTTTAAACTGTGGTAAAAAAAAAAAAAATAATGCATTTCCATGTCTGTATGTCCGTGCTTAGCTTATTCTATCAATCACGGAAGAGGCAGTCAAAGAGGAAGGAGAGACATTAGGAGCTGATAAATGCATCTGATCAGAAATCAGCAGACAGAATTACCAAAGTGTATCTGGTGCTGAATGGCTGGGGGACAAGCAGAAGTGGAAGAGATATTTCTGCAACAGGATATTCTTCTAGTCTTCTGAGTTTCTGGTCTTTGACAGACAATTCTGGTTGGCCGTGGCTGGAATCCACATGCTGATAGATAGGAATTTGTGCTTATAAGCAGGAGAATTAAAAAGACGCTTTCCTCTCCTCTTCCCTCCTGTCTTCTCCATTCTTTTTACAATCATCTTACATGAACAGCCTGAGACAGTTGACATAGTTTTTGGAATTGTAGTATTGATATTTCCAAACGTGCTCTCAGACTGTGGATAAACACCTCATTAGGAAACCAATCTCAGAATGAACTCTGGAGTATGAAAAAGATCATTTGTTTTTGTTCTGTAACCTAGCATTCCTTCTGGGCTGCTTCTCCTTTAATTGAACCACAGCTTAGCTCATCTATTCTTTTATTAATGCCCTGCTCTCATGTCCATAAGATTCAGGAATTTAGGACCCAGGGACAGAAAAATGAATAAGCCAGTGACCAGATTTCCCCCAGCTGTCTGGGCACAGCTTGAAGATTAGAAGTACCAATTGTTCACAGCCATTAAAGAGAGTGTGGAAGAGAAAAGGAATATTAGAAGATTTGGTATTTCTTACTTTTTTTTTTTTTTTTTTTTTTTTTTTTTTTTTTTTTGCCTCAGAAAGTACAAAGTTTAAAAATAGAATAAAAAATCTGCTGGGGAAAGGTGGAGTACCAGGTCCTAGGTCAGCGGTCCCTGGAAGTTTTGGTGATTAGGACATGTAAGGGCAGGCAGAGGCACTTTGTACTTGCTCCAAAGCCATAGGAATTTTCATCTTCCAGAGCCTTTATGAGTCACTTCTCTATCCACAGTCTTGAGCCCTGTGGCTATCCCACCAAGCTTCTCACTGTCCTCCAAAGACACCTGGCTGAGCACCTGGACCACTTTGTATACATTAACACTACAGGACATAAAATGTGGAGCCCCTGAGATTGCTGCCCTCCCATGTTGGAATGAGGGTCTGGAATGGCAAGGGTCTTCTATATTGCCAGAAAGAGTCATGCAGTAGCAGTGGCAGTGAGTCACTGCCATTGCGGTCTGGCTATAATTTTCTATATTATTAAGGTAGGAGAGAAAGTACTTCTCTTCTAGCTATTAGATATAACTAATAAAAGCAAGTGTCCTACAGCATTTCCAAAATGAAGGCATTAGGAAATAGAAAAACACGGTCTTTTTGGCTCCCTGGTCTATTCACATTGGTACTAGGGTGACCTTTCACCCAAGGGATAGCTGCTAAAGGGAGTAATTCAGAGACATGGAGCTTCTGGTTTGTTATGGGTTTGCTTATGGTTTGTTTTTTAACTCCTGCCTCCACACATGTTCTTGACTGATAACTGACTCATGTCCCTGAATTAAAATGACTGACCTATGACAGCATCAAGCATTCTTTGGAAACAGAGTGATGTATCTGAGAGGGCATTGGCCTCTCGTGTATGATACTTTCCCCCTTAAGAATCCTGTTTCGCCTCATAACTGGGGGAGAGGCTGTGCCTGAAACTTGGGGCGACGTCAAGGAAGCTAGAGGCCTCGATGCAATTATTACTGATTTGGGGGAGGAATACAGAGAATAAGGGGACACCAACTGCCCGGTCCATTGGCCATTTTTAAGGGTCCCCCACCCCAAGCCAAAGTTTGGTTTGTTGCTGTTAAGACAATTTTTGTTGTATGTATATAAATATTTTAGTTAGAGGAGGGGGGAAGGGGGTGCAGGGCTTTCACAGTTCTAGGGAATGGAGGCAGGGAGGATTTTGCTTTTGCTTTGAGGGAGAACTTTAGCTGACTAAAAGAACAGAAATTTGGGGTCATGATCAAAAAGGGACCATTCCCAAAAGATGGCAAGCCACTTAATCAGTGGAGACTAGGCCAAATTCTAAATGGTTGTATCCATAGCAGGGGAGAATAGGAGAATGAGTTTAAGAGTTTTTCTCTTCTTTTTTCCTAGAAAGAGGTAAGGATAATGGGAAAGGTAGGGAAGGCAGCTCCCACAGACCTTTTGAGAGGCGGAATCTTGAGCTTGAGGCACCTTTAGTGCATCTCAGTTCAGCTGGTTCTGGCTGAGGCCTCCAAAGGCAAGCACTGGACTTTCCAGTGGTTTCTGCTGCATTTCCAGGGATGGTGTTTAACACCGCTTCCTCCAGCTCCCTTTTCTAAGACTAAATGCAGTTCTGCTTTTTATAAAAGGGTCTTTGGTTTTCAGTGTCAACACTGAAAATTGGGGCTCTTATAAGCATCTAGACTTCACAGTATCAAGCTCCCGATCACCTTTTGAATTTTGAGTCTCCATACAGTCAACCTCATCAGAGGCGGGTTCCTTAAAGCAGCTTGTCTGTTCCTGACTCTGGTTCTCACTGTATTAAGAGTCAGAGGAGTCTGGCATTTCGTGAGTTTGTTAGAGGATGCTGGCTGATAATTCCAGAGAACTTAATGCTGAATCACAGTACATGCATGATTCTTTTTCAGCTTTACTGTAGTTCATGACCTGGACTTTCTATACTCTTGGAAGCTGGGCTCCTAAAGAAGGTCTCTAGTGAAAACTTTTATCTTCACGTCCCTCTTTTAGCCCAGAGAGCTGCCCATAGGCATTTTCCAGAATTCCTTGTGTCACTTAGTTCAATTTCCATTAACTCAGATCAGCCATTGTGATTCACCATTTGTCCGCTCTCAGGTTTAACAAAACGTTATCACCGTCATCCTTCAACAGCCACAGTCTGAATTGAGCCAACTTTTTTTTTCCTTGAGAAAGAAATGGACTGGGGCACAACTCTTAGTTTGAGGGGAGCTAGTGGACATCTAGCCAATAGAAATCATCGATAGCAGCTTTTCCTCAAATGTGTGACTCCTCAGGGGCTGAACTGCTCTTAGTTTAGAATTATGCTTTACTAGAGAACAAGCAGATCAGTGGGTTAGTCACTGCCATCCTCTTAACTAGTTATATAGCTTCCAGACATGAGGGAGACATCACAGGGATGGAAGCAACCCCAAGGATATGCGAGAAGGGCATGATGACCACCCTTCCCTCTGGCAGGAGAGCAAGGCCAACCAAGGACAGACTGGAAAGCACTTAGATGTTTAAGGAGGGAAAGGGGGCAACTTTGATGAGCTTTCCCCCTTTGCCAAGTTCAGCCAGTTCTCTGCTGCTTGCAACCCTCTAGCACAGTAACATTTGCAGAATTGCAGATTTTTCCCCCAGATACTAGGAGGAAAGGGACTTTGGGGGGGGGCGGGGAAGGGGTTGTGGTGTTTTAAAAGCATAAGTTACCTGTTTGCACTGTTTTAAGATAGGAAAAAAATAGTGGGCAAGGTGAACATCAGACGTAAATTTGTGTGTTTTTATTTTGTCATGCTCTTGAAAATGTTTGACCATTTGTAGTATACACAGTGAAACTTGATTCTCTGTTGCATAAAACACTATATTTTTTTGGAAATGTTGCTGTCCAAAAGGCTCTTCCCTCCCTTTGCTTTTCCTATGTACTTCCTTCATACTTGCTTTACTGATCAGCCAGGCAATAGCCATCCAAGAGCTAGAGCATGAAACAGGGCCCTTTCCAGGTAGGCTCTGGGTGTCCTAAGCCAGCGTGTGCCCTCTGGTTTAGTGAGAGCAGTAGAGTCCCTGGCACCTTCCTTTGCAAATAAGGCTTACAGACCAGACTGCAGCAAATTATCAGATTCCTCAATCAGATGCACTAGGAGTGAGGAGCCCAGGAATGGAGGGGATTCCTGAAGTATTGCAGTTGGCTGTAGTAGCTGAGTTCTTATCCTTGTTACCGAAACTGTAGCCAGTTACAGTTTACTCAGGAAAACGGTAGATCAATTCAGCCATGGTAGTGCTGGTTGGCAGGGATTGGTAACGGAGAGAACTGCTCATCAGCCAAAACTCAAGCCTTGCCTTTTAGGAGGCCACCAGCAGAGGGACTTGGTTCTCCTTGTCTGGTAGTTGTGTACATGCTGGTGACTTGAGGACTCCACTCACACCGGCGAGCAAGAAGGGAACAGTGATTCTCTTTTCTCTCCCCACCCCCTGCCCTTTGTTACCAACACCAGTTTCCCAGGGGGTACATGAGTTTTTGAATTTTTAAAAAGTGTCTTTTGGTTTGGTTTTTCCGGGGACTGGTAAGTGCTTTAAGCAATGTCTATACCCCATCAAGACTCCCAGCTTAGTCATTTTCTTGTGTTTTTCTGTTCACAGTATTTGTGTGTGTGCTTGTTTTGGCAGCTCATTTTGGCTGTATTATATATCGAGTGAGGAATTGATTCTCTTTTTTTTTCCTAAGGGGTATGAATTGTTTTTCTTGTGTTATATTCTGCTTGTGAATAGCTGGAGCAAACCTGGGGCTGACACACGTAAGCTAGGGCTGCAGAGTGAGAAGAGCCGGTGGAGTGTACTTGTCCCTGACAGGCTGACCTACCTGAGTCTCTGAGCTTTTCAGTCCAAATCTTTGCAAGGCTCAAAATGCCACAGAACCTCTCCTCTTCTCCCCACTCCCCATGGCAGGGACCGGACCATCCCTACATGCAACATGCTGTTCCTCAGCCCCTCCCATTGCCATGGCAAAACAGGTACCTTTGGGGCATGGGGCATTACATGGGATGCTTATGTAATCGACCACCTAGCCTTCTCTCTCCCCTCCCGACCTCCCCCAGAATCACTTCCTAGGACACCCGAGCTGCTTGCCCAGGGTCCTGTTTCCCTGCTAACTCCAGAGAAGCACCCCAGGGCTTTGTGACAGTCTCGAATTCCCTTCCCTTCTCGTTAAGAATCATATTGTATAGTAGCTTTCAGACCATACAGTATTCATTGGGTTACTCCTATTATTATCAAGTAGCTGGAATTGTGAAGGTCGGAGTAGTTAGATCTTTAGCTTTTATTCCTTATTTTTTTGTATTACTCTCCATGTGTATAAATTATTGATCATGTTGCTGGCTTTTATAAACTCTAAGCGAAGGAGGAGCACTGCCTCAGCCTTTGCATATGGTAATGAAGCACTGTTTTTAAATAAAAGAGAGAAACACCATTCTTTGGCCTGTGTGTATTGATCCTTGTTCCATTGCCTCTGCCTGAGGCTCCAGAGATACAACTTGGATTTGACTTAAGACCGAGGAAAAAAACAAGAAGGAAAACTGCTAGGCGTCCTAAAGTGAGACTTTCTAAATGGTGATCAGCCAGAAGGTGAGCGAGGCCAGCAGCTGGGCCTGTGACAGCTGCTCTCGGCTTCCCCAGCTGCTGAACTCGTCTGTCCGAAAGTGATTTTGTGCTTCTACTTCTGAAGTCTTCCAGCTTCACTTCCTCACCGTCCACCCTCCCGTAGACTCAGCTGCTGCCTTTACTGTACCTCAGACACTGTCCTTGCCAGGGGCTATGGCACCACTTGACCTTGTCCAGGTGTCATTTCCCTGCCTTGCCCCTTCTGTCCTTGCTGCCTCTGGTGCTCCTGCTGCCACCCAGGCTCCCTTGCTTTTTGTTCAGCCGTAGAAAATATGTCTTGCCTAGCCCTTTCCTTCCTTTTTCTTTTTCCCCCCCCTTAAGACGGTCTCACTGCGTTGCCCAGGCTGGAGTGCAGTGGTATGATCACAGCTCACTGTAGCCTCAAACTCCTGGACTCAAGCAATCCTCCCACCTCAGCCTCCCAAGAAGCTGGAACTACAGGCATGCGCCACCACACCTGACTGTTCTTTAAATTTTTGGTACAGATGGGGCTTCACTGTTGCCCAGGCTGGTCTCAAACTCCTGGCCTCAAGTGATCCTTCCACCTCAGCCTCCCAAAGTGCTGGCGTTAGAGGCGTGAGCCACCACTCCTGACCTCTTTCCTTTCTTACCTGTGCTTTTCACCCATCCCTTGCTGCATTTGGTTTCTGAGCCAATAATTCCCAAATCCCTGAAATTCTCCATAATCCGTACATGTCTAACTCCCTTCACTTCACCATACGAGATCATCAAGCTTCCTATTTCACAGAGAATATGGAGCCTGTCAGACATGCTCTCTCTCAATGAATTTTTGCTACCAGATCTATGAACCTACCCGGATTTTGCCCAGGGTGGCTTTACCGTTCTCTCTCGTTCTCATAGGGGCATTCTTCACATCACCGTGAACCCCACGCCTGTGGTCTGCGTCCCAGCCTTTCCCATCTGCTCAGTGCATCGCTTCAGTTTCCTCCCTTGCCTGGTTAACCTCCCTCTCAGTAGTCACTTTGGCACTTAAGCATGCTTAAATCTTAAAAAGTTAAAAAGAAAAATGGAAAATCTCAAGTTATTCCTTGAACTTTTTTTATTGTTTATTTATTTATTTTTATTTTTTTTGAGACAGCGTCTCACTCTGTCACCTGGGCTCCAGTGTAGTGGTGCTATCTTGACTCACTGCAACCACCACCTCCCAGGTTCAAGCAATTCTGCCTCAGCTTCCCGAGTAGCCAGGATTATGGGCATGTGTCACCACGCCCGGCTAATTTTTGTATTTTTAGTGGAGACAGGGTTTCATCGCGTTGGCCAGGCTGGCCTCAAACTCCTGACCTCAAGGATTTACCTGTCTTGGTCTCCCAAAGTGCTGGAATTATAGGTGTGAGCCACCCGCCCGGACCTAAGTTACTTCTTTTGTGGCAAACTTCTGGAATCAGTTTCTGCTGGCCCACTCCAGTTACTTGGTCTTCACCTTGCAGCTGCCTGCTTCTCCCTCCACTACCTGGAAGCAGCCCCCAAGGATGACAGGTAACAGACGCTGCTCAGTCCACCCGCTTGACCGTCTGGTGTTCCCAAGGCTGTTTCCCTTGTGTGTTGGACTGTGACAGGACAAAGTGGGTGAGTACCTCACCACCACTGCCCACTCCAAGCTGGCATGTCCTTGCCCAGTCTCATCTCATCCCCTAAACTGGTCTTGCCTCTACCTTTCCTCCTACAGCACTCCATCACCAAAGCTTGCTCAGTCAAATTGTGATGTGCTTTTGTGCAAACTTCCTTTGGCGCCAGTTCCAAGTCCTTATTTTGGTCTGCAAGGCCATGTACGATGCCCTCCCCTGGGAGTTTATTTGGTGTCTGTCTTTCCATACTAAAATGTAAGCATCTGGAGGTCAAACACTTTGTTCTCTTGGCTGCTGTATCTCCAGAGCCTGGCACTTAGTAAGCAGTCAGTATGTGTTTGTTGAGTTACTGCTTTCCATTTTGGACGTAAGTGATGCGGTTTTCAGCCCTGCCTTTTTCCACATTGCCACCCCTAGTAACAGCAGTGGGTGTGTGCAGACGCTGTTGGTGGTACATGTCCATTTTCACTTCCTTCATCTTCCCAGCAGCCCTGACGCTGGTGCCCCCTGAGGCGCTCCTCTCTGCGGCTCATGCTCCTGCTCTTCCTGCTGGATTTGACAAACATGCAAAGCCTGGATTGTCCCTTCCCCAGGCCATTTCTGGGGATTGTGTTTGCAGCAAGGAAATTTGTATCCCCCCAGGACAAAGCAAGCTTGCTTACTACCTGTTATAAAAGAGGTGGATCCCCCCTAAGCTCAGTGCTCCTCATGCAGTCCACACCTACTGCCCGCAGGCCCGTGGGACATGCTGCCTGCTTCACCGTGAGTAATAACGTCCTTTGCCTGTCACCGAGCCTTGTGTCTTCCACCAATATCCATGAAACAGTAACAGGCTAATGCATCAGTTTCTAAGGAGGGAGAAACCAAAGCCCAAACCTGACAATTCTGTACATGTCTCTTCCTGCCACCAGACTGAGCTTCCAGAGGGCAAAGGACCAGATTAATCATGTCCGGCTTCCCAGCGCCTCACTGAGGCACCTGCTAGAGCTCCCATCATATAAACCATACCGATAGTTGCACAAAGAGGCACAGATTCAGACGCGCAGCCAGGGATGTGATAAGCACAAGCAGAGTGTGCCTCTGAGAAGGAAACCACACATAGTTCCCTGAGACTTTATTTAAAACACAGGATGAATTTACAAAAATGTTCATTGAGTCAAAAGATGGCCCTGGCCTCAGTTCCATTTCTATGCCTCTGTTGAGGACGTGGGGGTGTTCAGAGTAGCCTCCCCTCCATGCTCCCAAGCAGCCAGTGGCCCCCTGTGATGGCAACCAATGATGCGGTGTGTTTTTTTGGGGTGGCAGGAGGTGTTGAAAACTGGATTGCAAGGAACAGCAGCCAAGTTTCTGTTTCTCCCTGAGCCATAGCAAGCTGTGTGCTCTCGGTCAAATCCTGCCCATCTGCTCCACAGCTTTCCCATCTGTAGGATGTCAGGACAGATAAGCTATTCCATGGGGCCCTTCCCAAGGCGGAAGTGCTGATTCTGCATTGTTGATAACAGAACTTGTCTCTCCCGGTGGAAATCAAACCGAAACAAATGCTCACTCAGTCCCAGGCATGGGGCTGATCCAACCGTGCACTCCTGTTTGACGCTCCACCTTCCTGTGGGAACACCGTTCTCATAAAATGCCTGTGCATTCACAATTGCTCCTATCAGAAACTGCACAGGAGCAATTGTGACCAAGTGATCACAAAAGCTGGCACCACACAGCAGTGTGTCAGGAAAATGGTGCCTCCATTTTGGAGACTACCTGACCCAGTTCTAGACCATATAGTGGAGGGTCTCAAAGAAGGAGTGAATCAGAACCCCATTTACACACCCAGGCTGCAAGCCCGAAGCTTCCTCATTCAGTCCAGATGGGGTCTGAGCATCTGGATTTTGGCAAGAAGCCAAAGATGGTCCTAATATGCACCCTGGCTGGTATACACCACTACAGTGTTTTTGTTCTTGTCATCTTCTCAGAGTGCCAAGAGACAGAGAACAGAAGAGCTTTTTATTTATTTATTTATTTTTTTTGAGACTGAGTTTTGTTCTTGTTGCCCAGGATGGAGTACAATGGCACGATCTTGGCTCACTGCAACCTTCGCCTCCTGGGTTCAAGGGATTCTCCTGCCTCAGTCTCCCAAGTAGCTGGGATTACAGGTGTGCACCATCACACCTGGCTAACTTTTTTTTTTTAACTAGAGGAGTTTCATCATGTTAGTCAGGCTAGTCTCAAACTCCTGACCTCAAGTGACTGGCATTACAAGTGTGAGCCACCGTTCCCAGCCGAAAAGCTTGTTTTTAAAAAGGCTGGGACTGATGTCTCTATAAAGGTTCATCAGTGGTAACAAATGTTACCACGTGGTGCTGGACCGTGATGGTCTACAGTAAGGGGAGAGGGTGTGGGGAACACTGTGCTTTCCACTCAAATTTACTCTAATACATAAAGGCTATTAATTTTGTTTGTTTGTTTATTTATTTATTTTTTGAGACAGAGTCTCACTCCGTCACCAGGCGCCAGGCTGGAGTGCAGTGACGCGACCTCGGCTCACTGCAACCTCCGTTTCCTGGGTTCAAGCAATTCTGCCTCAGCCTCCCCAGTAGCTGGGACTATAGGCGAGCACCACCATGCCCAGCTAATTTTTTTTTTTTTTTTGTATTTTTAGTAGAGATGGGGTTTCACCATGTTGGCCAGGATGGTCTCAATTTCTTGACCTCATGATCCGCCTGCCTCGGCCTCCCAAAGTGCTGGGATTACAGGCATGAGCCACCGCGCCCAGCCAAGTCTATTAATTTTAAAGCCCGTTGATTTAAATACAGGGAAGAGGCAGCCGGAGTATGATGGAGTCAGTGGAAATATTCAAGGATCGTGGTTCTGTGCCTCTCAGCCAGCTCCCTCTTCCTAGACACCTCAGATGAGCTCCTGCTCCATCTCTATGGAAGACTTCTGTTGTCTGTGGGCAAAATTCTAAACTTCTTTGCCAGGCATTGAAGGCACCTTCCCGTCCTGGCTCAAACCGTCTCTTCAGGCTTAGAATCACTAATGAATGAGGGACCCTAACTAAAAGGGATCTCAGAGACCATCCCCACCAGATTGTAAGTCTCACAAGGGCAGGGGCCTTCCTTGTCTATTTGCCACAAGGACTTAGGACACAGCCAAGGTCTGAAGGGCAGGGACCTACATGCAGATCTGGCTTGAGGCAGGTGTGCATGCCCTGGTCCAGCCACCAGCCATTGAA